TACAAAATTTTTTATATTTGGGGTGTTTAGTTAAATTAGCAAATCTAGGGGGTTTTTTTTGTAAATTTTTATTTTGACTTATAATACTCCCTGTTCAACTACCCAATTTATTCTCAAAATTCTATTAAAATAATAAAACAAAGAACCTAAGATATCAGGCCCACATTAAAACTGTCTAATTCTTAGGGTGAAACACCCTACAGGCCTAATAGACCAAAGTAATGCACAAATGTGATAGTACTCTCTTACGACTTGAACACAAGATCCTCTAGATATAATTAACCCCAATAATTAAAAGGTTTACCATCCGACCATAAGGTGAGAGATAGTTTGTAATGTTTTCATATGCTATTTGGGTGAAATAAAATGGATTAAGCATGTAGTGACAATCAAAAACTTAAATTCATATTAATGGATCTTTTGACTATGTATTTTGTTATTGACAAACACAAACAATCCTCTCACAATGCCATTGGCATGCTTTTAAAGAACAATGAAAGGCAAATTATCACCAACCTTGATGGGTTTTGTAATCAAATTTGTGGCAATGATACTTTGTTACATAGCTCAATAAAATTCATGCAACAAACTCTATGGTAATGGCCTAAATGGGGCATCAGTTCTTCACCTCAATACATGTGAAATGTGTCACTTGAAATGATTATAAATAGTTTCAACTCAAATGTAACTCTGAAGGAAAATATTGTTGCCTTAATCTGATGAAGACGGTACGAGAATGGTGTTTGAGGAATCAAACATCGGTCATGACGCCTTCACGACATAAGGGTTATGCACTGAGAAATTAAATCCAAATGCTGAAAAGGCTTCCGAGAGCCCTTTTCTTGCTCAGTTCTATACTCCATCCTCCTGCCTTTCACCCCTCTCTGCTCGAAGCTTCATCATTTCCTCATCATCAAAAGAATAACCGTGAATGTCCAAGCCCCCTGGAAGTGGTACTGGTTGTGGACCCATGCCTGTTGGTCGTGGCTGCCCCAGCAAGTGTAGGAGCATATTGTCCTGTGTATCAACACCAATGCCTGCTTGAGAACTCTGGCCGGGGCCTGTCTCAGCAACAAAACAAATTAGTAAATAGAATGTTCAAGGTGAAAAACATAAAATAAGAATTTGTTGGGACAGATTCCTGAATTCCCACTAAGGGCAGATCAGGATCAGAGATTAATAGAAGAATAGATGACATTCTTCAAAAAAAATTATTAGTGAATGTCGAGTTTGGGAGCTAGTAAAAAAATGGCTACAGAAAAAGGGAAACTGAATATCCATTTGAAAGATGTCATTTCCAGATTTCAACCTAAACTGCATGTTTTAGTTGTCATCCTCAGCTAGGAAAAGAGAAAGAAAGAGTTTGTAAGAGTAAAGCTTATTGATAAAGTAATATCGGTGAAAAGGCAATCCTATGATAGAATTGGTTTTGCAGGGCTATATGATCCCACACCAGGACAAACATGGCAACCAGATGCATTTAGCCTAACATGCAAGATATGCAACAAGCGACACACAAAATAATATCAAAATAAGTTTACCTTGAAGAAATAGATAAGTACAATTCAAGTCACATTTGAATCCAAGATTTAGAAGGCTTGGAACCTTACATGGGTTTTCAGAATAGACAGCATTAATGCTTTCAATGTACAGTATAAAATTATATAATTGCTCGTAACAGCATGCTCGACTCAAAAGAAGGATTCATATGCATGTAGGATAACATGGATCAATTAAAAACTAAATAATACAAACTGAACAAAATGGTACTTTGGTAAAGCAGAAGGCAAACACTTATGGAGGTTTTTTGAATAATAACCGTACTTTTCATTGCTCATTTCTAATTTAATTACTTCTTTTGCTGCTTTTGAATGATGAATGTTGAATTTTTCTTGTTTAGCTATATATGAGTAGTAGAAACACTCTAATTCTCATCAGTTGCTAAAATGTGTGGCCACTAGAGAGTTTACTCTATCATTAACTTTAGGGTCTCGTGTGATTAGTCGAGGTGCATGCAAATTAGTCCGAACACATTCAATTACAAAAAATAAAAAAAAATAATTCATATATACATATATATATATTAATCTTGATATACCTGAATTCTCAAGAACAAAGAGAATTATACATTGAATATCAAGAGAGATGTCATAATATAGAGATTTGCTTCTCCTGATCCATTTATAATTTCTCTTAAATGTTGGTTTTCAATTTGTACCTGCATATTTGTTTTGAAGAATTCTGAATAACAAAGACAATATACATGAATATATATGAGCAGTGTAAACCCTCCAAGATTCATTAATTTATCCCTGGTACTAGTAAATTATCATAAATGTATCTTGCCTTGACTATACATTCCTGCTCATGAATAACTAGATTGAATTTATTTCCTGCTGCTTCTAGTTCAGACACCTGAATTCTGAAGAGCAAAGATATGTATTAAAGATCATGAGAGATGTCATAAACATAAAAATTTGCTCCACCTAATCTATATATAATTAATTCTCTTAAATAGTTTGCAATTTGTACCTGGGATTTGCATATGTTGTGAAGATACATTAATTATTTTGCAGCTAAAAGGGATTCTCATTTATGATCATACTGAGGATTTAATATTTTAGTGATATAGTTGAATTAACATGTAGGATGTTGATTGAGATCAAGGCGGAGAATGAAAGGATTGTATATGGAACCACAGTAGAGATAATTTCCAATCTTGATGCCACTGGAAGCCAGTGCCATTAGGGGATGATGATAGAGAGTAATTGGGTTTCCTTCTAAATCAAAAAGTCAGAACCCCACCAGTTTTCACCATTTGTGGCAGCCCTATGCTATGTATTTCTCCAGTGTTTGATCGGGTGAAAGTGCAACTCCATTAGCAAAGAAAAGCTGATGAACCAACACCTTCGTCTTCTTTGTTTTAGAATCAAAGCTCATAAATCTGCCATGAGGCTTGCTCTCTAATATGCCCTTTATACTCTCAGATAAGTCGTATTTATATGAAGCATCTGTAAAATATTATCATCCCATTCTCCACAATTTCCACTGAATCAGTCAGTCTGAATTTTACACCTTCCGCCTTTTCCGTCAAATCCTCAATCTTATCACCGGTGATCTTCAGCAGCCCCTGTAAATAACAAAGAATTTTTTTTTTTATTTACACAAATGAATAAGAACTGAAGCGTTAAAAAAGTACTGACCCTGTAAGCGTCAGCAACGAAAATATCGTTATTTTCGAAGAGCGAGTCCGAGCGGCCTCTCGGCAGTGTTGATAAAATTCTTAATCACCGAGTCAGCAGCCGAGTCGTTGAGGGTGACTGACTCGTTTGATCCAGCCATCATCACAACCCGTGTACAGGGCTTTAGACTCAGGATCATAAACAAGATCCTCTGGTCCCTGCAGTGCAGCACTCCCAGACCCACCAGTTTGGTTCCTGGTAAGTTGCACTTCAACGTCGACCTCAACTGCATGGCGGCCATTACAGGCGCTAGTAATAAAAACAAAAGGGCAGAACGCCATAAAAATGACGATAATAATTAAAGATGATACAGAGGGCGAGTCAGACAGTTGTGGTGGAGAGTGAAATTGGTTTTAAGGAGTAATTAAAAGATGGAGGTTATAGAGATTAGGGATGTAAAATTCCACCCATATTGATATTTTTATTTACCGTAAATGTCTGCGGTATATGATTCTGTCTTTTAACACAAGCTCAACTTCATGGGCTTGCTCTGTAGCTCATTAAAATCTGTGTTTTCCTAATCCCCGTTCCAGCGTTCTCCACCTACAAAACCCTAACCTCTCCAATCATCACACCTTTTTTCCTTTTATATGATTGGCCAGATTTCTGCATTAACAATTCTGAAATAAAATGCTGAACTAGGTATAATATTTTGAGTTTGTAATGGTTTTTTTCGGGTATCTAAGGCTCCGTTTGACTTATTATTTCTATCTATATTCTCAATCCTACTTTTAAAATACTTATTTATTTTGTTATTTGAGAAATATTAGTATATTTTTTAATTACTTTTAAACCCTTTCAGTTTATTAATTTCATTAAATAACCCCAAAAAAAGTTTAAAAATTAATAAAAACACCCCTACCCATCCATACTTACCAGATTCTGGTAATCATCATTGGTGGTAGCCGGAATCTGTCATAACGGCCTACAAACGACTGGATCTGACTGCTAATTCACCGATCTGACCATCGTTGACGGTCAACGATGACCAAATCTTGGTCATCGTTGACCGACAACAACAGCCACAATCAGATCTGAACTTTTGCAGCCGTCGAGGCCAAATCTGGCCATAGATCTGGCCTTTTCAGATTAGATCCGTAGTGGATCTGACCGAAAAATGCCATATTGACGCCCTACCAGACAGATTCGACCGGTCTGCATCATAACGCCATTTTTCGGCCAAATTCCACCGGTGGTGGCCGGAATTTGGCACTGTGGGTTGGTGGAGGTCTTTTTGTCATTTTACAAAATTTTTATATATTGGGGTGTTTAGTTAAATTAGCAAATCTAGGGGGTTTTTTTTGTAAATTTTTAATTTTGACCTTATAATACTCCCCTGTTCAACTACCCAATATTATTCTCAAAATTCTATCTAAAATAATAAAACAAATGAACCCTAAGATATTCAGGCCCACATTAAAACATGTCTAATTCTTAGGGTCACGAAACACCCTACAGGCCTAATAGACCAAAGTAATTGCACAAATGTGATAGATATCTCTCTTACGACTTGAACACAAGATCCTCTAGATATAATTAACCCCAATAATTAAAAGGTTTACCATCCGACCATAAGGTGAGAGATAGTTTGTAATGTTTTCATATGCTATTGGGGTGAAAATAAAATGGATCTAAGCATGTAGTGACAATCAAAAACTTATAATCTCATATTAATGGATCTTTTGACTATGTATTTTGTTATTGACAAACACAAACAATCCTCTCACAATGCCATTGGCATGCTTTTAAAGAACAATGAAAGGCAAAATTATCACCAACCTTTGATGGGTTTTGTAATCAAATTTGTGGCAATGATACTTTGTTACATAGCTCAATAAAATTCATGCAACAAACTCTATGGTAATGGCCTAAATGGGGCATCAGTTCTTTCACCTCAATTACATGTGAAATGTGTCACTTGAAATGATTATAACTAGTTTCACCTCAAATGATAAACTCTGAAGGAAAATATTTGTTGCCCTAATCTGATGAAGACGGTACGAGAATGGTGTTTGAGGAATCAAATCATCGGTCATGACGCCTTCACGACATAAGGGTTATGCACTGAGAAATTAAATCCAAATGCTTGAAAAGGCTTCCTCGAGAGCCCTTTTCTTGCTCAGTTCTATACTCCATCCTCCTGCCTTTCCACCCCTCTCTGCTCGAAGCTTCATCATTTCCTCATCATCAAAAGAATAACCGTGAATGTCCAAGCCCCCTGGAAGTGGTACTGGTTGTGGACCCATGCCTGTTGGTCGTGGCTGCCCTCCAGCAAGTGTAGGAGCATATTGTCCCTGTGTATCAACACCAATGCCTGCTTGAGAACTCTGGCCCGGGGCCTGTCGTCAGCAACAAAACAAATTAGTAAATAGAATGTTCAAGGTGAAAACACATAAAATAAGATATTTGTTGGGACAGATTCCTGAATTCCCACTAAGGGCAGATCAGGATCAGTGATATAATAGAAGAATAGATGACATTTCTTCAAAAAAAATTATTAGTGAATGTTCGAGTTTGGGAGCTAGTAAAAAAATGGCTACAGAAAAAGGGAAACTGAATATCCATTTGAAAGATGTCATTTCCAGATTTCAACCTAAACTGCATGTTTTAGTTGTCATCCTCAGCTAGGAAAAGTAGAAGAAAGAGTTTGTAAAGATAAAGCTTATTGATAAAGTAATACTGGTGAAAAGGCAATCCTATGATAGAATTGGTTTTGCAGGGCTATATGATCCCACACCAGGAACAACATGGCAACCAGATGCATTTAGCCTAACATGCAAGATATGCAACAAGCTGACACACAAAATAAATATCAAAATAAGTATTTACCTTGAAGAAATAGATAAGTACAATTCAAGTCACATTTGACTCCAAGATTTAGAAGGCCTTGGAACCTTACATGGGTTTTCAGAATAGACAGCATTAATGCTTTCAACGTACAGTAAAAAATTATATAATTGCTCGTAACAGCATGCTCCACTCAAAAAGGATTCATATTTGCATGTAGGATAACATGGATCAATTAAAAACTTTAAATAAATACAAACTGAACAAAATGTCTACTTCTGGTAAAGCAGAAGGCAAACACTTATGGAGGTTTTCAATTTTGGCCTTGTTTTGGGTTATTTGGCAGGAGTGAAGTACATATATTTTTTAAGGAAACAAGACAAGGTTAACAATCTGTGGTTTAAAATTTACTTCGTTGCCTCTTTCAGGGCTTCTACTAGAAAGGAGCTTGAAGACAGCTCTCTTTTCTTCATCAACTAGGAATTCAGAAAGGGTTCTAGACTAATCTGTCTTTGAGGTTTACATTTTTTCTGTTTTCGTTAGGATGGATATATATAAACAGTCAAAGTTCAATGTTGGAAAGTAGTCACAGCTGTCAAATTTAAATATCCTTCACACGCTTTAAGGTAGTAATAATGACACAGGTAGATCAATCCAGTGACCAGTAATCTCAATACCACATTGCATAACCAATTCGAAAGAAAGAAAGAAAAATAATCTATAAAAATGAAGAAGTAGACATGACTCATAACGAATCAACAAATTAGAGATAACGAATGACTTTTGTTAACCCTTTTAAGAAAACAAGTCACAAGAGGACTCAGGTAATCAAGACAAAACCTAACTAATAAATAAATAAATCTTATCCTCACCCCATCGATATCATTCTGTGCAGGATTTCCTTTGCTTGCTGCCAGAGCTGCTGCTAGTTCTTCTGCCTGTTTGATTAGGATCAGTATTACTAAAATTAATAACTTCTAAGCAAATTTTTGTAGATAATATCTCCAATTAACTAAGGGTAGAATCAAACACAAAACACACATTCACTGTAATTTCTGTGACATAAATCAAAGAAGAAATGCCAAATTGAATCACCTGTCATAACGGGAATTGTAGAGGATGTACAGTAAGAAAACTATTAAAATACAAATACCTTTCGAGCTTGATTGATCATTATTTGTTCAGCATTTTCTTTTTGGTATTGCTGAATTTTTTCTTCAATAGCTTGTACATCTATTCCTTCAATCAAGTTAAATACTGCAATATAAAGCTTTCATGTCAAAATAGCTCTCTTGCAAATAGAATCTCAGTAGGATAGATAGTTTGGATGATTGGAGTTCTTACTCATATCCTCCACTTCCTCCAAGTAATCATTGTATTCTCTCAATGATGGAAAATCATCTTCTCGTTTATTATATCTGAACAATAGTAAACTGTTTAGTTGTCTGCATCAATGATGCTTGATACTACTTTGTAAATAATGAAAAAGTAAATAAGTAATTAATATAAAGGGTTGGCAAAATCAGCAATAAGAAGTAAAATCATGTGTCCATTACACAGTATTACTGGTTCTGTACTATGATCCAAACCCAGTAGCTACTTGTTAATGATAAAGCCAAATAAATATATATATGTATTAACAGTACATTTATTAATTCCACAGTGTATGGAAACTGATACCATGGTGTTCTTTGAAAAAGAAAAAAAAAAAAAAAAAAATCATGTCAGCAATTACTCTCGAAGTTGATGTTACCGACAAATATTACCCAGATATTGTTACTGATGATTTTAAAATATGCAGTTGTTTATCATGACTTTATCGAAAGACACTGACTTAATCACATCCACATGAATCTAATAACAAATTCAAGCAGAGAGGGAGAAAACTACATGCTTGCGATCCTCTTCCTGATGGCCATCTCCCTGTTGTGAGGATTGGATATGGCCTTCACCATTTTTGTTTCCCTCTCAGCCTTTTCTCTCCTTTTGATCCTTCATTTCACGTAGGCCACATAGTTAAAAGGGATTCATATGTTAAAAAAATAAAAAATCTTCAACAATATTTGTGCATATAGCATACCTCTTCAAATAGCATCTTCTGCAAAAGGCTCTAAAGGATTTAGCCCACAAAACTAGATCTCAGACTTAACATATCTGTGCAGTAAACAACCCATCAGTTTGGTTGCCAGCTCAAAATCCACATGGAGGCACTATTTCAAGAAATATGATATCGATATTGCATAAATTTTCAAACACATTGTCAACTTAGCAACACACAACCATAGATGTTATCATTTTAGCATTGTAATTACTATAGTGTAAAACATTTCCATACGTCTGCAGGCATGTACAATAACACAATGGTGACATGTAGGTGCCATGTCATAGTCAATACCGTAGCACTCCGGCTTTTAACATATAAACTATCATCACTAATATCATCACGATACCAAAATATCCATCACCCAAGAAGCATTAGGCTTTGACATGAACAAACAAGTTTTAAGAACAAAAAAAATTATAGTATGCATTTTTCACTCCACTATCGCATGTTCTGAATTTTCCAAATCACTATCGATTATTTCAAGTGCTTGTAGTAAAGTTAAGCTAAAGAAACTAAACGAAACCCGAAAAGAATAAAATTGGCTCAAAATGCTATTACTATACGCAATTAACAAAATTTATTATGCTTCATGAGAAAACTTGATATTCAAGCTCCCAGGATTTCATAGGTATCAAGTTGGTTCCCCCAAAATCAAAGATAGCACTATAGCAGCAAGTTAGGCCTTAATTATCTGAACCAAATATTAAATCTTTCTATACAATTGAAACAAGATTATGTGATTTTCATCTGTAATTAAAAATTTCCCTACCGCCAATACTCTTAGCAGCATCTTTAAGGCTCCCAGCAAAATATTGTCGAAGAACTTGCAAGCTGATCGTCTTCTCTGTCTTGGTCCGCCTCTTCACTCCTGCTTTTCTGATTCCTTCCAACCGACGGCCACTAAGGGAAGAAGAGTCTCCACCACCGTCAACACTACTTTTGGCCACAGAGTGCCTCTAATCTTCTCACTTTCTCAGTTTCGTCCGCAAGAGGAAGTATCAAATAGAATAATGGATGAAATTAAAAAAGACAAAAACCTGAGAGTTATGATCCCGGAGAGGCAGGTGGAGAAGTGGAGGGATCGGCGTCGGCTGCGGAAAATGTAATTAGCGTTGGGGGTGTGGAAAAAGTGCGTATATATACAAAGGGCAATTCTGTAATTCTATAAGAATATCAAGGGTAGTATGGTTATTTACTGGGAGCTGAGCGGGTCGGATTGGGTCGGGGTGACCTCTATCCCCATCCCTACTCTATTCGGGGCAAGGTGGGGCGAGAAAAAGACTCATCTCTAATTTCCCACCCAAGGTTAGGCATAAGTAAGTTTTCTCACCTGAAAGGTTTTAAAAAAAAAAACAATTTCTCAGTCATTGTTAAAAATAAGACATTAGTTTTAACGGTAAAAGGGCATTCTCGTCAATTTGCACAATATATATTATAAGGTTAATATTCTTCACACCCTTAAATTACAAACACATAACAATTACCTTCACCAACTGAGAATTAGTTATTTAAACTCCTACCTTCAATTTCAATTTTTTAATTTAACTTTTTTAAAAAATCGATGAAAATAAAAATTGGCTAGTGTGTATGTCGGTCAACCACTATTGGTAAGATTTGGGTACAATCTTCGCCAAATAGTCTGACCACACTGTCGGTGTCGTTGGATAGATCGATTGGTGATCTATCCAACGGTGAAACGAGGATTCCCTTGGTGAAGTCGTTTTTTGATAACCACTGTCAGCAAGATCTGGGTTTAGTCACTGACGACGAGTCCAACTATACCGTTGATGCTGTTGGATAAATCAGTAGTTGATCTATCCAACATGTAAACAAGGAGTCCTTTGGTGAAGTTGTTTCGTCGGAAAAAGACATCAAAAAGTATTTCACAAAATAGTCTCTAGCATTTTTAAAGGAATAGCTCTCAATAATGGCTTCCTCGTTTGTGACGTTGGATAGATAGTCCAACAATCAACCCAACAACATTGGTTGTGTTGCCGGCAACCGTGGTTGGCGAGTCCATTGTTTATTTTAAATAACTAAGTTTATTTTATTTAATTTATTAATCTTAAAATTAATATAAACCAAATGTAGGGTAAAAAATATATTTAATAAAGTTTGAGTGAGAAAATGTTATTCAGCCTTATTGAAAACTATAGTCAAATAGTAAAAGATATTTTGTTAGCTTTACCTATAGGTAACATATCTCAATAAAGTCAAATAATAAAGGGTGGGAAATTGTTATTCTTCCTTTCATTTCATATGTCTAAAGAGGAAAATAATAAAATCATCGTCGATAATATATCGAATTTGTGTACTAAATAACGTGATAAAATCATAATCGTTGATTGATTTTATCCTAATATTAATCAATGATCAGAATTTTATTATTTNTAAGGGAAGAAGAGTCTCCACCACCGTCAACACTACTTTTGGCCACAGAGTGCCTCTAATCTTCTCACTTTCTCAGTTTCGTCCGCAAGAGGAAGTAGCAAATAGAATAATGGATGAAATTAAAAAAAACATAAACCTGAGAGTTATGATCCCGGAGAGGCAGGTGGAGAAGTGGAGAGATCGGCGTCGGCTGCGGAAAATGTAATTAGCGTTGGGTGCGTGGAAAAAGTGAGTATATATACAAAGGGCAATTCTGTAATTCTATAAATATATCAAGGGTAGTATGGTTATTTACTGGGTCGGGTCGGGTCAAGGTGACCTCTATCCCCATCCCTAGGGACGGGGGAACTTCCTGGTTCCTATCCCCGGGGACGGGGGAATTTCCTAGTCCCCATCCCTATCCCGATTTTTCGAGGAATCCCTACTCTATTCGGGGCAAGGTGGGGCGAGAAAACGACTCATCTCTAATTTCCCACCCAAGGTTAGGCATAAGTAAGTTTTCCTACCCAAAAGGTTTAAAAAAAAAAAAAAAAAAAATTTCTCAGCCATCGTTAAAATTAAGTCATTAGTTTTAACGGCAAAAGGGCATTTTTGTCAATTTGCACAATATATATTATAAGGTTAATATTCTTCACACCTTGAAATTACAAACACATAACAATTACCTTCACCAACTGAGAATTAGTTATTTAAACTCCTATCTTCAATTTCAATTTTTTAATTTAACTTTTTAAAAAAATCGATGAAAATAAAAATTGGCTAATGTGTATGTCGACCAACCACCATTGGCAAGATTTGGGTACAATCTTCAGCTGATAGTCCGACCACATTGTCGGTGTTGTTGAATAGATGGGCTAGCGATCTATCCAATGGTGTAAACGAGGATTCCCTTGGTGAAGCCATTTTTTGATAACCACTGATGGCAAGATCTGGGTTCAGTCACTGACGACGAGTTCGACCACATTGTTGATACTATTGGATAGATCAGCAGTCGATCTATCCAACATGTAAACAAGGAGTCCTTTGGTGAAGTTGTTTTGTCGGAAAAAGACAACAAAAAGTATTTCACAAAATAGTCTCTAGCCTTTTTCGAGGAATAGCTCTCAGCAATGGTTTCCTCGTTTGTGCCATTGGATAGATCGTCCAACAATCAACCCAACAACATTGGTTGTGTTGTCGGCAACCGTGGTCGGCGAGTCCATGGTTTATTTTATTTTATTTTTTTAATTTATTAATCTTAAAATTAATATAAACCAAATCTAGGAGTGAAAAATATATTTAATGAAGTTTGAGTGAGAAAATGTTATTCAGCCTTACTGAAAACTATAATCAAATAGTAAAAGATATTTTCTTAGCTTTACCTATAGGCAACATATCTCAATAAAGTCAAATAATAAAGGGTGGAAATTGTCATTCTTCCTTTCATTTCATATGTCTAAAGAGGAAAATAATAAAATCATCGTCGATAATATATCGAATTTGTGTACTAAATAACGTGATAAAATCATAATCGTTGATTGATTTTATCCTAATATTAATCAATGATCAGAATTTTATTATTTTATTCGATACACTATCATCAGTGACGGTAACATTATCCGTCTAAATATTAGCACGTTTATATTCAATGTCAGATCGTTAAAGATAATTATAAATTTATAATTAATATAAATCATTGATTATCTAAATTAAATGAAGATGTCTCTAATATTTGTTGTCCCACCGCCCATCAGTATCAGAAAGTGACAATTTCGTCCCCATAGTAATTTGTCCGTTCTATTATATAATCATCTATCGTGTCAGAACAGAGTTTACCATTCATTGACATCTTCCGGTTCTCACTTAAAAAAATTTGGTCCGCATTTCAGTTACAGTTTCTCCATTGAAGAGGATACAACAAACTCCTTAAGCACGCTATAATATTTTTTTCCTTGGATCTTTCACTTCACCAGCATGAACAATTTTTTCAAGAATTCATGGACTATCTTCATTCCTCGTTTCATAGCTCAAAACTATCGTGGGTTCTCTCGGTTTGGAGCTGACTTAGAACCAGAATCATGGAAATCAATGGAGGGTCTGATTCGTTGCTCGGCAAATTTTGCTCCTTTGACTCCAATAACCTTCTTGGAGAGGTCAGCAAAGGTTTACAGAGACAGAACGTCACTTGTGTATGGTTCTTTGAAGTTCACATGGAGTGAAACCCATAAACGTTGCCTCAAAGTCGCTTCTGCTCTGACCCGGCTGGGAATTTCTCCTGGAGATGTTGTGAGTTGGTTTCATCAACACTTATTGAGTTTATTGCTTGATTGATTTTCCTAAGAATTTGGTTGATTTGATTTGATCAAATTAGCCAATCATTTACAAGTTTTTCTTTCTTGATAATCTCATTTTGGACGTTCATTTAAGTGCCTGTGTAATTGGATTTTTATGGATGAAAAAAAGGCCTTATCCAACTCTAATTATGTTGAAGAAGTAAGCATGTGGATGTGACAATTGAAACAATAGACTTTAGATTTCAGCTGACCTTATCATTTGACTTTGCTAAGAATGGGGCTCACTTAGTTGCTAAATTAAACGAATAAATAGATTTAGTTGTTGGTTTTTCTGATTCGTTTGTCTAGCTTTCTTTAATTAATTATTTCTGGGAAGGAGGATTGGAGGTAGTTTGTGAAGGAATGGTAGATACATGGTCATCTTCAGAACTGATCATGAAGATTGTGTGGATCCCGAGCTTGAATCTTTATTTTTTTATTGTCATATTGAACTACTTTAATATTTGCAGTACATCTGAACAGAATCAGTTCTGGTTTTGAATTTATGACAGTCTAGCCTATCCTCTTGTTTGCAACTGTTAACAATGTAAGCATGCAGGTTGCGACCCTCGCACCTAATGTTCCTGCAATGTATGAGCTGCATTTTGCAGTTCCAATGGCTGGGGCGGTTCTATGCACGCTTAATTCACGCCACGACTCAGCAATGATGTCAGTCTTACTTAGACATTGTGAAGCAAAGATTATATTTGTAGACTACCAATTACTTCCAATTGCTAGTGGAGCACTTGATCTTCTTGTAAAGGCACAAGCAAAACCACCCATTTTAGTCTTAATTTCTGAAACTGATATGTCATCTCATACAAACTCAACTACAAATGGTTATGATTATGAAAGTCTGCTTGAAACAGGTGATAGCGGATTTGAAATAAGACGACCAGATAATGAATGGGATCCTATTAGTGTAAATTATACTTCTGGAACAACGTCACAACCTAAAGGGGTTGTTTATAGTCACAGGGGAGCCTATCTCAATTCCCTTGCAACAGTTTTTCTTCATGGGATGGGCATAATTCCTGTTTACCTGTGGACTGTGCCTATGTTTCACTGCAACGGGTGGTGCCTCCCTTGGGGAGTGGCAGCTCAGGGTGGCACTAACATATGCCTCAGAAGAGTCGCTCCGAAGAGCATATTTGAGAGTATAGCTTTGCATAATGTAACACACATGGGAGGAGCACCAACTGTTCTTAACATGATTGTGAATTCACCTTAGAGTGACCAGAGGCCCCTTCCTCACAAGGTGGAAATTGCAACGGGCGGTTCACCTCCACCTCCACAAATCCTTTCTAAGATGGAAGAGTTGGGTTTTAGCGTAACTCACTTGTATGGCCTTACAGAAACTTATGGTCCTGGAGTTTACTGCACATGGCAACCTGAATGGAATTCCTTACCTCTAGAAGAGCAATCAAGGATCAGAGCCCGACAGGGAATGCAGCATCTTGGTTTGGAGGAGGTTGATGTAAGAGATTCTGTCTCCGTGGAAATTGTACCAGCTGATGGTAAAACAATGGGTGAAATCATGTTTAGAGGAAACACTGTAATGAGTGGATACCTTAAAGACTTGAAAGCAACAGAGGAAGCTTTTAGAGGTGGTTGGTTTCGAAGTGGGGATCTTGCCGTGAAGCATCCTAATGGATATATAGAAATAAAGGATCGCTTGAAAGATATTATAATTTCTGGTGGAGAGAATATAAGCACGGTTGAGATAGAGACAGTTTTGTTTAGTCATCCAGCCGTTCTTGAGGCTGCAGTTGTGGCTAGACCAGATAATCACTGGGGACAAACACCTTGTGCATTTGTAAAGTTAAAGGAGGGATTTGATGTTGATGCTGAAGAAATAATCCAGTTTTGCCAGGATCGCTTGCCACATTACATGGCTCCCCGGACAGTCATTTTTGAAGATTTGCCAAGAACTTCAACTGGGAAAGTGCAGAAGTTTATACTGAGAGAAAAAGCAAAGGCTTTGGGCAGCCTTTCTTGACACTAAAACAAGGAAACAGCCATGTTTGTTTGGCAGATATTGCTTACCTTCTACTTTACCTCAAATTATTATATTCTTCAAAAATTGTAGAGCCATAATTTCAATTTGTACCTCGTATTGCATTTGTGTTGAAGTTGCTATTATGCAGCTGAAAGTAATGTCATTTGTGATCATACTGGATATTATTCTTTCATGTGGTTTCATGTGCTGGATGTTGATTCAAGTCAAGGCTCAGAATGTAGGGATCGCATATGGAACCACAGTATAGATGATCCCCAATCTTGATCCCACTGGAAATCATTGGTATTCCAGGATCATGATAGTGAGCAATTGGTTTTCCTTCCAAATCAACAGCCATAACCCCAGCATTTTCCTGGCAATCCCATGTATTTGTTGACAATTCCTGCAAACTTTCGGATGCACGGGTATCGAAATGTTAAATCCCAGAGTTTTTTGAATTCCTACATAATTCCAGAAAAGTGATAGTAACTCAAATGATGGTAATGTTTATTCATTGATATACAAAAGATTGATGCAAATGCTACGAATGATGAAGATAACAGCTGATCTCTTGAAGAGGATTCCTCTTTACCAAGGCAAAAGCAATCCAGTAAAGGCCCTGTCCATCATAGTGAATGTTATCAGGAATGCCAGGCAAATTCTCAATAAACTTTTCCGGGCGTCCGGATTCCTTCCCTTTAATGTGATACTTACTGTACCTTCTCCTGCAAAAATTAGCCCATTTGAGACAGTTGGAAAACAAAGAAACTGATGAAAGTAATAGCTTCAAAACATACATGGGGGTCTCACAGAAAAACTAGAAAAGTTTGATCCGGAGAAACCGTGACTCCATTGGCGACGTAGAGATGATGAAGCAACACCTTGGTCTTCTTTGTTACAGGATCAAAACTCAATAATCTGCCGAAGGGCTTATCCTCCAAAAGGTCCCATACATGATCAGATAATTTATATTTTTATGAAGCATCTGTAAAATATATCATGCCATCTTCAGCAATTTCTACAGCATTCGTTATCTCGAAGAGCGAGTCCAAGTGGTCTCCCGCCTGCGCTGATCCAGTTCTCAGTCACCGAGTTGTTGAGCGTCACTCGTTTGATCCGCCCATCTTCACAACCCGTGCAGAGGACGTTAGACTGAATCTGAGAGTCATAAACAATATCTTCAGGTCCCCGGAGGACTCCCAGGCCTAGCAGTTCTGCTCCTTGCGACATGTGATCGTTACGCTTCAACGCTTTCAATCCCGGATAAGTGAAGTCGTGGACAGGCATGTGAGCTGGCAGGAAGAAGTCGAGTTGGTAGAGCAACGTGGCGGCTATTAAAGGAATCATGAAGGAAAACACAAGGGGAGAACGCCACAACCATTTAGCGGCGTGTTGATGTTGGGTAGTGAAGCTGTTTAGGGGCCCGAGTTGGACATTGTTGAAGGTTATAATGGGAGGTTGGTAAGTGGAGAGGCGATTCAGGGGAAGTGGTAAAGTTGAAACGAGACTTGAAATGTTTATAGGATGTACACTAAAGGTCAATTTAGACCTAGCAAATTTATTCTCTGGGCCAAAATGTAATGTTGAAATAATGAGGAGCCCAGTGAAATTACAAAGTTACATTTATGGGGTTAAAGTATTAAGTTCAAAAACTGAACAGAATCATAAGGTAAAAGCTGAATTTAATGGGACTACATTAGTAAATTTCTATAAATTTTTGAAAAATTTTGTGAGCCACCCGGGGCTGGACGTAGTTTGATGTTAATCCTAATAGAATTTATGAAATTAGAGTTTATTCAAATAAACTAAATTTTCTAAGAAAAATTTATTAATTATTTGATTCAAAAACTCTTTTAGATTTTCTTTATCTAATCATCGGAACAGACAAATAGTTGAACGCGTTGCAGATTCCCATGCTAATTTCGACAGGAACATAATTCTTATTTGGTTTTCAAATAGGATCATATAAACACTGGAACGATCTAATATGCGACAAATAATCGACAGAGAAATATAATAAAGAAAATAAAATATTTCACTTTGTAATTAAAAACAAAAATGTAATATAAAAGGCTGCGTTTGCCTTGTTATTTTGGATGAGATTTTGAAAATAATATTGGGTAGTTGAATAAGATGAATATTACAAGGTAAAATTTAAAAATTAACCAAAAAAACCCATAGATTTGCTAATTTAACTTTCCAATATATAAAATTTTATAAAATAATAAAAACACCCACCCTCACCCACCCACAGTGCTAGATTTCGGTCACCACTGTCAGAATTTGGCTGAAAAATGGCTTTACGACGAAAACCGAATCTGACCGACCATGCGTCGATATGGCCTTTTTCGACCAGATCTGAGTAGATCTAGTCGTCGACGGCCGTAAAAGACTAGATTTGGTTGTCATTGATGGCCAAAGATATGACTGTTATTGACTGTCAACGACAACCATTTCTTTGGCCGACGCTGATGACCAAATCTGGCTTTTTCCGGCTAGATCCACTGTAGATCTGATCGAAAAAGGCCAAATCGACGAATTATTGGCCAGTTTAGGTTGTTTCTACGCCATTGTGACAGATTTCAATAACCACCGATGATGATTGCCAGAATCTATCAACTATGGGTAGGTAGGGGTGCTTTTGTTAATTTTTAAACTTTTTTTCTAGGGGTGTTTAATTAAAATAATAAACTTAAGGGGACTATAAGTAATTAAAAATATATTATAGTATTTCCCAAATAATTAAACAAACTGATATTTTGGGAATAAGATGGGGAATAAGGTTTGAAATAACAAAACAAGCACTCAAATATTTTAAGGATTACTCAATTCGTACATGGTATTATGCAGCTGAAAGTGATATCATTTGTGATCAGATCACATTGAGGATTACTCATTCATACCGCGGGATATTGATTCACGTCGAGACGCAGTATGTAGTGGTTGTCTAGGGAACCACAGTACAGATGATCTCCAATCTTGATCGCACTAGAAATTATTGGTATTCCAGGATCGTGATAGTGAGCAATCGATTTTCCTTCCAAATCAACAGCCACAGCCCCACCATCTTTGGTCATTTGTGGTAGCCACATGTATTTAAGCACAATTCCGGCAACCTTTTGGATGACAGGGTATCTTAACGCCAGATCCCAGAATTTCGAGAATTCCTGCACATATAATTGCAAAAACGTATTGATGATGGGCTACAAACGATGAATGATAACACCAGAATCTCAGAAAATAAATGAAGTGAACTGCTTTACGTACCGAGGCAATTGCAATCCAGTAAAGACCTTGGCTGTCATAGTGAATGTTATCAGGAAAGCCAGGCAAATTCTCAATGAACTTTTCCACACGTCCTGATTCCTTCCCTTTAATATAATACTTACTGCAGCTTTTCCTGAAATATCAGCTCATCTGAGAAGAGTTGAAAACAGAAAACTGAAGAAATTCTGATAATAAAAGGAATAGCTCGAAAAACATACATAGGGGTTTCACAAAACACTAGAAAAGATTGATCCGGAGAGATTGTGATTCCATTGGCGAAGTAGAGATTATGAAGCAACACCTTGGTCTCCTTCGTTACAGGATCAAAACTCAGTAATCTGCCAAAAGGTTTGCCCTCTAAAATGTCCCAGATATAATCAGCTAAATTATATTTATATGAAGCATCTGTAAAATATATGATGCCATCTTCAGCAATTTCTACAGCATCGGTCAGCTTGAACTTTTGACCCTCTGCCTCATCCGTTAGCAGCTCAATTAATTCATTTCCATTTATCTTCAGCAGCCCCTGTTATATCATTCACACCAAATATTTCAACTTTATTTACCGTTTCAATTCATTCAATTGAATCAGTCAACTTAATTTAGCTATTTATCCGTTTGATTTATTATTTTGGATATAATTTTGAGAATAATATTAGATAGTTGAATAAAGGAGTATTACGATGTAAAATTTAAAAATTTACCAAAAAATCCCATAGATTTGCTAATTTAACTAAACACCCTAATACATTAAAATTTTATAAAATAATAAAAACACCCCCACGCACCTGCAGTGCCAGATTCCGGCTACCACCGACAATGGTTGTCGGAATCTTGCAAGTATGGGTGAGTAGGGGTGTTTTTATTAATTTTTAAACTTTTTTTCTAAAAATATTTAATGAAATTAATAAACTTAAAGGGTTTAAAAGTAATTAAAAAATATACTAATATTTTTGCTAAATAAGTATTTTAGAAATAAAATTAGAAATATGGATAGAAATAACTTGTCAAACAAGCTGTATTGTATTTTTATATGATATTTAATATTATCCCATCCCAACTGATTAAACTTCGTTTGCTTCCGGATTCTGCCTTCAAAGTTTCAACTTAGTACGTATATATTTATTTATTTTACTCAGTATTAAAAATTAAAATACGTTTTTATATATTTCAAACTTTAACATAAAATCATTTTTTTTTTTTTTTTGTTTTCATAATATTTTGGGATAAGCTCGATAATTGCCTACGCGACACAAAACTCCTGGTTTGAGCTTGCTATCCAAGGAAAAGAGGTTATCTCTCCCTGACTGACTTGAACACATGATCTTTGAGTATAATTAATCTTATTTTCTTTTGACTCAAACACACGACCTTTGAATATAATAAACCTGTGCTTAAAGGGCTTGCAACTTACCATGAGAGATTATGTATATAAAACATAATTTCAACGTATTTATTTCATAAATTTTGATATCTTCATATTCATAATATATAAATTGACGTAAAATCAGAGATATAAATAGTTAAAAAAATAATAATAATGAATGGTTATCATAAAAATAAAAATAATAAAAAGAAGGTGGCTGACCTTGTAAGCATCAGCAACGATGAATTCGTTATGTCGAAGAGCTAGTCCAAGCGGTCTACCGCCGGTGTTGATCCATTTCTCAATCACCGAGTTATTGAGCGTGACTCGTTTGATCCACCCGTCTTCACAACCCGTGTAAACGACGTTAAACCGAGAGTCATAAACAATATCTTCAGGTCCCCGGAGGACTCCCAGGCCCAGCAGTTCCGCTCCTTGCAACATGCGATCGTTACGCTTCAACACTTTCAATCCCGGATAAGTGAGGTCGTCGACTGCCATGTGAGCCGGGTCAAATGAATCTAATCGGTAGAGCACCACGGCGGCTATAACAGGAGCCAGGAATGTAAACAGAAGAGTGGAACGCCATAACCATCTTGGGGGGGCGTGTTCTTGTTGGGGACGGTGTTGGGGAGGGGAAGCTGAGTCAGAGGCCGAGTTGGCCATCGATGATGCCGAAGAGTGAGAGTGAGAGCTTGATGAGCAAGTTGCAGGATATCCTGAACGTTAAGTTTTGACTTTAATTTTTTGTCTTTCTGTACGTAGGGGCAGGGACGCTGAAGATATCGAATCCATTATTAATATTTAATTAGCCTTTAATTAAATAAAGAAATGTAATTAAATATAATACACAGGATTATGGGCCTAGTTAGGTGGGCAGCACGACAGGAGTCACGAGCACCAGAACGACAAGATCATCTGCGTATTTGGCTAGCCATTATTGCTGATCGGTCAAAGTCTTTCTTGTTTATAGCCATGTTTATGAAATTACTAAAATCTCCATTTATTTTTATTAAATTATCGTTAGAAATACCTAAGTTGGTTACGATTATGAAAGTTGAAAGCGATAGAAGTTGAATTTATCCTATATCGTTATATTGGTGAATTGTTATAATATATATATATATATATATGTATTTATTTAGATTGATCAAACTCTGGGTAAATCCTACACAACCTGGGTAAATTAAACTCTCAATGACCACCCTTATCAGCAACTTAGATGGATCGAACATATACAGGTTGCGACCATCGCACTTAATGTTCGTGCAATGTATGAGCTGCATTTTGCAGTTCCAATGGCTGGGGCGGTTCTATGCCCGCTTAATTCACGCCACGACTCAGCAATGGTATCAGTCTTACTTAGACATTGTGAAGCAAAAATTATATTTGTAGACTACCAATTACTTCCAATTGCTAGTGGAGCACTTGATCTTCTTGTAAAGGCACAAGCAAAACCACCCATTTTAGTCTTAATTTCTGAAACTAATATGTCATCTCATACAAACTCAACTACAAATGGTTATGATTATGAAAGTCTGCTTGAAACAGGTGATAGCGGATTTGAAATAAGACGACCAGATAATGAATGGGATCCTATTAGTGTAAATTATACTTCTGGAACAACGTCACAACCTAAAGGGGTTGTTTATAGTCACAGGGGAGCCTATCTCAATTCCCTTGCAACAGTTTTTCTTCATGGGATGGGTATAATGCCTGTTTACCTGTGGACTGTGCCTATGTTTCACTGCAACGGGTGGTGCCTCCCTTGGGGAGTGGCAGCTCAGGGTGGCACTAACATATGCCTCAGAAGAGTCGCTCCGAAGAGCATATTTGAGAGTATAGCTTTGCATAATGTAACACACATGGGAGGAGCACCAACTGTTCTTAACATGATTGTGAATTCACCTAAGAGTGACCAGAGGCCCCTTCCTCACAAGGTGGAAATTGCAACGGGCGGTTCACCTCCACCTCCACAAATCCTTTCTAAGATGGAAGAGTTGGGTNTTGTGTCTTTTAACACAAGCTCAACTTCATGGGCTTGCTCTGCAGCTCATTAAAATCTGTGGGCGCGTTTGAGTCATTATTTTAGATAGGATTTTAGGAATAATTTTGGGTAGTTGAATAGGGGAGTATTATGACATAAAATTTAAAAATTTATAAAAAACTTTAAGATTTGCTAATTTAATTAAACACCCCAATATGCAAAATGATAAAAATACTCCCACCACCCTTAGTGCCAGATTTCGGTCACCACCGTCGGAATCTGGCCGAAAAATTTTGTTACAACACAGATCAATGGGATCTGTGTCGTAACGCATTGCTATGGCCTTTTCCGGTCAGATCCACCACGGATCTAGCCGAAAAAGGCCAGATCTACGCCCAAATGTGGTTGTCGATGGCCGTAAAGGTCCACGACGGCCAAAGATGTGGCTGTTTGTTTTCGGTCAACGATGGCCAAGTTTTGGCCATCGTTGACCATCAACGACGACCATTTCTTTGGCCGTCATTGACGGCCAGGTTTGGCCTTTTCCGTGGATCTGGCAGGAAAAGGCCAGATCGGTGAATAACCAATTAGTTCCGGGCTTGGTTTAAGCCGTTGTGACAGATTCTGGCTACCACCGACGGTGGTTGCCGGAATCTGACAAGTATGGATGGGTGGGGGTGTTTTTGCTAATTTTTAAACTTTTTTCTGGGGGTATTTAGTAAAATTAATAAACTTAAGGGGTCTAAGAGTAATTAAAAAAATTCATTAATATTTCTGGAATAATGTGCCAAACAATATTTGGGGAATAGGATTGTGAATATAGGTAGAAATACTAAACCAAAAGCACCCAGTGTTTTCCTAATCCCCGGCGTTTTCCACCTGCAAAACCCTAACCTCTCCAATCATCACACCTTTTTCATTGTATATGATGGGCAATTTCTGCATTAACAATTCTGAAATAAATGCTGAACTAGGCATAAATATTTGAGTTTGTAATTTTTTTTTTTTTTTAAGGTATTTAAGGTATTCAGGCTTACATTAAAACATGTCTAATCCTTAGGATCACGAATACCTTACAAACCTATGGACCAAGGTAATTACACAAATGTGGTAGATATTCTCTTACGACCCAAACACAAGATCCCCGGATATAATAACCCCAATAACGGGCCGTTTGGTTCTTTATTTTTCTGCCCTATTCCCAAAAAAATTGTTTGTTTAATTTAGGAAATACTATTATATTATATTTAATTACTTTTAGACCCCTTAAGCTTATTAATTTAATTAAACACCCACAGAAAAAAAAGTTTAAAAAATAACAAAAATATCTCCACCCACCCATAGTTGCCAGATTTTGGCAACCACCGTGGGTGATTGCCGAATCTATCACAACAGCGTAAAATGATCGGAACTGGCCAATAATTCGCTGATTTGGCTTTCAGCGACGGCCAAAGAAATGCATCGTTGACGGTCAACGACAGCGTCTCTGACTACCAGATCTGGTTTTGCGGCTGTTGACGACCAGATCTGGCCTTTTGCTGCCGTCGACGACCAAATCTAGCATTTTCCGAGCCGATCCGTGGTGGATCTGGCCAGAAAAGGCCAGATCGACGCACGACTGGTCAAATCCGACTGGTTGCATCATAAAGCCAGATTCCGACCAGACTCGGCGGTGGCCGGAATCTGACACTGTGGGTGGGGTGGTTGGGGGTGTTTTATCATTTACAAAAATTTTATATATAGGTGTTTAGTTAAATTAGCAAACCTATGAGGTTTTTTTGTTAATTTTTAAATTTTACCTCATATAATCACCCTATTTAACAACCTAATACATTTCCAAAATCTTATCCAAAATAACAAACCAAACAGACCTTAGGTTTACCATCCGACCAAAGGTGAGGATAGTTTGTAATGTTTTCATATGCTTTGGGGTGAAAATAAAATGGATCTAAGCATGTAGTGACAATCAAAAACTTATAATCTCATATTAATGGATCTTTTGTCTAGTATTTTGTTATTGACAAACACAAACAATCCTCTCACAATGCCATTTGCATGCTTTTAAAGACAATGAAAGGCAAAATTATCACCAACCTTTGATGGGTTTTGTATCAAATTTGTGGCAATGAACTTTGTTACATAGCTCAATAAAATCATGCAACAAACTCTATGGTAGGCCTAAATGGGGCATCAGTTCTTTCACCTCAATTACATGTGAAATGTGTCACTTGAATGATTTAAACTAGTTTCACTCAATGATAAACTCTGAAGGAAATATTTGTTGCCTAATTGATGAAGACGGTACGAGAATGGTGTTTGAGGAATCAATCATGGTCATGACGCCTTCACGACATAAGGGTATGCACTGAGAAATTAAATCCAAATGCTTGAAAAGCTTCCTCGAGAACCTTTTCTTGCTCAGTCTATACTCCATCCTCCTGCCTTTCCACCCCCTCTTGCTCGAAGCTTCATATCCTCATCATCAAAAGAATAAACGTGAATGTCCAAGCCCCCTGGAAGTGGTACTGGTTGGGACCATGCCTGTTGGTGTGGCTGCCCTCCAGCAAGTGTAGGAGTATTGTCCCGTGTATCAACACCAATGCCTGTTGGAACTCTGGCGGGGCCTGTCTCAGCAAAAAAAAAAATTAGTAAATGAATGTTCAAGGTGAAAACAAATAAAATAAGATATTTGTGTGGACAGATTCCTGAATTCCCACTAAGGGCAGATCAGGATCAGAGATAATAGAAGAATAGAGACTTCTTCAAAAAAATTATTAGTGAATGTTCGAGTTTGGGAGCTAGTAAAAAAATGGCTACAGAAAAAGGGAAACTGAATATCCCTTTGAAAGATGTCATTCAGATTTCAACCTAAACTGCATGTTTTAGTTGTCACTCCTCAGCTAGGAAAAGTAGAAGAAAGAGTTTGTAAAGATAAGCTATTGATAAAGAATACTGGTGAAAAGGCAATCCTTGATAGGATTGGTTTTGCAGGATATATATCCACACACAGGAACAAATGGCAACAGATGCATTTAGCCTAACATGCAAGATATGCAACAAGCGACACACAAAAATATATCAAAATAAGTATTTACTTGAAGAAATAGATAAGTACAATTCAGTCACATTTGATCCAAGATTTAGAAGGCTTGGAACCTTACATGGGTTTTCAGAATGACAGCATTAATGCTTTCAAGTACAGTAAAAATTATATAATTGCTCGTAACAGCAGCTCCACTCAAAAAGGATTCATATTTGCATGTAGGATAACATGGATCAATTAAAAACTTTAAATAAATAAAACTGAACAAATGTCTATCTGGTAAAGCAGAAGGCAAACACTTATGGAGGTTTTCAATTTTGGCCTTGTTTTGGGTTATTTGGCAGGAGTGAAGTACATTATTTTTTAAGGAAACAAGACAAGGTTAACAATTGGTTTAAAATTTACTTCGTTGCTCTTTCAGGGTTTCTACTAGAAAGGAGCTTGAAGACAGCTCTCTTTTCTCATCAACATGGAATCAGAAAGGGTTCTAGACTAATCTGTCTTTGAGGTTATTTTTTCTGTTTCGTTAGGATGGTATATTAAACAGTCAAAGTTCAATGTTGGAAAGTAGTACAGCTGTCAAATTTAAAATCCTTCAACGCTTTAAGGGAGTAATAATGACACAGTAGATCAATCCAGTGACCAGTAATCTCAATACACCCATTGATAACCAATTCGAAAGAAAGAAAGAAAAAAATATCTATAAAAATGAAGAAGTAGACATGACTCATAAAGAATAACAAATTAGAGATAACGAATGACTTTTGTTAACCTTTTAAGAAAACAAGTCACAAGAGGACTCAGGTAATCAAGACAAAACCTAACTAATAAATAAATAAATCTTTCCTACCCCATCATATCATTCTGTGCAGGATTTCCTTTGCTTGCTGCAGAGCTGCTGCTAGTTCTTCGTGTTTGATTAGGATCAGTATCTAAAATTAATAACTTCTAAGCAAATTTTTGTAGATAATATCTCCAATTAACTAAGGCTAGAATCAAAAACAAAACACACATTCACTGTAATTTCTGTGACATAAATCAAAGAAGAAATGCCAAATTGAATCACCTGTCATAACGGGAATTGTAGAGGATGTACAGTAAGAAAAAATATTAAAATACAATACACTTTCGAGCTTGATTGACATTATTTGTCAGCATTTTCTTTTTGGTATTGCTGAATTTTTCTCAATAGCTTGTACATCTATTCCTTCAATCAAGTTAAATACTCATATAAAGCTTCATGTCAAAATAGCTTCTTGCAAATAGAATCTCAGTAGGATAGATATTTGGGTGATTGGAGGTTTACTCATATCCTCCACTTCCTCCAAGTAATCATTGTATTCTCTCAATGATGGAAAATCTATCTCGTTTATATATCTGAACAAAGTAAACTGTTAGTTGTCTGCATCAATGATGCTTGATACTACTTTGTAAATAATAAAAGTAAATAAGTAATTAATATAAAGGGTGGCAAAATCAGCATAAGAAGTAAAATCATGTGTCCATTACACAGATTAATGGTTCTGTACTATGATCCAAACCCAGTAGTACTTGTTAATGATAAAGCCAAATAATATATATATGTAAACGTACATTTATTAATTCCACAGTGTATGGAAACTGATACCATGGTGTTCTTTGAAAAAGAAAAAAAAAAAAAAAATCATGTCAGAATTACTCTCAAAGTTGATACCGACAAATATACCCAGATATTGTTACTGATGATTTTAAAATATGCAGTTGTTTATCATGACTTATTGAAAGACACTGACTTAATCACATCCACATGAACTAATAACAAATTCAAGCAGAGGGAGAAAACTACATGCTTGCGATCTCTTCCTGATGGCATCTCCCTGTTGTGAGGATTGGATATGGCCTTCACACATTTTGTTTCCCTCTCAGCCTTTTCCTCCTTTGCCTTCATTTCACGTAGGCCAAAAAGTTAAAAGGATTCATATGTTAAAAAAATAAAAAATCTTCAACAATATTTGTGCATATAGCATACCTCTTCAAATAGCATCTTCTGCAAAAGGCTCTAAAGGATTTACCCACAAAACTAGATTCAGACTTAACATATCTGTCAGTAACAAACACCATCAGTTTGGTTGCCAGCTCAAATCCACATGGAGGCACTATTTCAGAAATATGATATCGATATTGCATAAATTTTCAAACACATTGTCAACTTAGCAACACACAACCATAAGTTATCATATTTAGCATTGTATTACTAAGTGTAAAACATTCCATACGTCTGCAGCATGTACAATAACACAATGGTGACTGAGGTGCCATGTCATAGTCAATACCGTGCACTCCGGCTTTAACATATAAACTATCATCAATATCATCACGATACCAAAATCTCATCACCAAGAAGCATAGGCTTTGACATGAACAAACAAGTTTTAAGAACAAAAAAAATTATAGTATGCATTTTTACTCCACTATCGCATGTTCTGAATTTTCCAAAATCACTATTGATTATTTCAGTGCTTGTAGTAAGTTAAGCTAAAGAAACTAAACGAAACCCAAAAGAATAAAATGGCTCAAAATGCTATTACCATACGCAATAAAAAAATTTATTATGCTCAGAAAACTTGATATTCAAGCTCCAGGATTCAAGGTATCAAGTGTGTTCCCCCAAAATCAAAGATAGCACTATAGCAGCAAGTTAGGCCTTAATTATCTGAACAAATATAAATTTTCTATACAATTGAAACAAGATTATGTGATTTTCATCGTAATTAAAAATTTCCCTACCGCCAATACTCTTAGCAGCATCTTTAAGGCTCCCAGCAAAATATTGTCGAGAAATTGCAAACTGATCGTCTTCCTGTCTTGGTCCGCCTCTTCACTCCTGCTTTTCTGATTCCTTCCAACCGACGGCACTAAGGGAAGAAGAGTCCCACCACCGTAAACACTATTTGGCCACAAGGTGCCTTAATCTTCTCACTTTCTCAGTTTCGTCGCAAGAGGAAGTACAAATAGATAATGGATGAAATTAAAAAAACAAAAACCTGGAGTTAGATCCCGGAGAGGCAGGTGGAGAAGTGGAGAGCGGCGTCGGCTGCGGAAAATGTAATTAGCGTTGGGTGGTGGAAAAAGTGCGTATATATACAAAGGGCAATTCTGTAATTCTATAAATATCAAGGGTAGTATGGTTATTTACTGGGTCGGGTCGGGGTCGGTGTCGTCGGGGCTCGCATCGCGATCTATCATTCCCTCGATCCCTATCTATTCGGGGCAAGGTGGGGCGAGAAAAAGACTCATCTCTAATTTCCACCCAAGGTTAGGCATAAGTAAGTTTCCTACCAAAGGTTTAAAAAAAAAAAAAAAAAAATTTCTCAGCATGTTAAAATAAGCATTAGTTTTAACGGAAAGGGCTTTCTGTCAATTTGCACAATATATATTATAAGGTAATATTCTTCACACCTTAAATTACAAACACATAAAAAATTACCTTCACCAACTGAGAATTAGTTATTTAAACTCCCTCAATTTCAATTTTTTAATTTAACTTTTAAAAAATCGATGAAAATAAAAATTGGCTATGTGTTATGTCGCAACCACCATTGAAGATTTGGGTACAATCTTCGCGATGTCGACCACATGTCGGTGTTGTTGATAGTATGGGTAGCGTTATCCACGTGGTAAACGAGGATTCCCTGGTGAAGCTTTTTTGATAACCACTGATGCAAGATCTGGGTTTAGTCACTGACGACGAGTCACCACATTCGTTGATGCTTGGATAATCACAGTGATCTATCCAACATGTAAACAAGGAGTCCTTTGGTGAAGTTGTTTCGTCGGAAAAAGACACAAAAGTATTTCACAAAATAGTCTTAGCTTTTTAGGAATAGCTCTCAAATGGTTTCCTCGTTTGTGATTGGATAGATGTCCAACAATCAACCCAACAACATGGTTGTGTTGCGGCAACCGTGGTGGCGAGTCCATGTTTATTTTATTTATTTTTAATTTTTTATTAATCTTAAAATTAATATAAACCAATTAGGAGTGAAAATATATTAATAAGTTTGAGTGAGAAAATGTTATTCAGCTTACTGAAAACATAATCAATAGTAAAAGATATTTTTTAGCTTTACCTATAGGCAACATATCTCAATAAAGTCAAATAATAAAGGGTGGAAATTGTCATTCTTCCTTTCATTTATATGTCTAAGATTAGCACGTTATGTTCATGTCAGATCGTTAAGATAATTATAAATTATAATTAAATAAATCATTGATTATCTAATTAAATGAAGATGTCTCTATATTGTTGTCCCACCGACATCGTATCAGACAAAGTGACAATTTCGTCCCCAGTAATTTGTCCGTTTTCATTATATAATCATCTATCGTGTCAGAACAGAGTTTACCATTCATTGACATCTTCGCGTTCTCACTTGAAAAATTTGGTCCGCATTTCAGTTCAGTTTCTCCATTGAAGAGGATACAACAAACTCTTAAGCACGTATAATATTTTTTTCCTTGGATCTTTCACTTCACCAGCATGAACAATTTTTTCAAGAATTCATGGACTATCTCATTCCTCGTTTCATAGCTCAAACTATCGTGGGTTCTCTCGGTTTGGAGCTGACTTAGAACCAGAATCATGGAAATCAATGGAGGGTCTGGTTCGTTGCTCGGCAAATTTTGCTCCTTTGACTCCAATAACCTTCTTGGAGAGGTCAGCAAAGGTTTACAGAGACAGAACGTCACTTGTGTATGGTTCTTTGAAGTTCACCTGGAGTAAACCCATAAACGTGCCTCAAATCGCTTCGCTCTGACCCGGCTGGGAATTTCCTGGAGATGTTGTGAGTTGGTTTCATCAACCTATTGATCTGATATTGAGTTATTGCTTGATTGATTTCAAGAATTTGATTTGATTTGATCAATTAGCCAAATCTTACAAGTTTTTCTTTCTGATAATCCATTTTGGAGTTCATTTAAGTGCCTGTGTAATGGATTTTTATGGATGAAAAAAAGGCCTTATCCAACTCTAATTAGTTGAAGAAGTAAGCATGTGGAGTGTGACAATTGAAACAATAGACTTTAGATTCAGCTGACCTTATCATTTGACTTTGCTAAGAATGGGGCTCACTTAGTTGCTAAATTAAACGAATAAATAGATTAGTTGTTGGTTTTTCTGATTCGTTTGTCTAGCTTTCTTTAATTATTTATTTTGGGAAGGGGATTGGAGGTAGTTTGTGAAGGAATGGTAGATACATGGTCATCTTCAGAAACTGATCATGAGAGTGTGTGGATCCCGAGCTTGAATCTTTATTTTTTTATTGTCATATTGAACTACTTTAATATTTGAGTACATCTGAACAGAATCAGTTCTGGTTTTGAATTTATGACAGTCTGCCTATCCTCTTGTTTGCAACTGTAACAATGTAAGCATGCAGGTTGCACCTCGCACCTAATGTTCCTGCATGTATGGCTGCATTTTGCAGTTCCAATGGCTGGGGCGGTTCTATGCCCGCTTAATTCACGCCACGACTCAGCAATGTGTCAGTCTTACTTAGACATGTGAAGCAAAGATTATATTTGTAGACTACCAATTACTTCCAATGCTAGTGGAGCACTTGATCTTCTTGTAAAGGCACAAGCAAAACCACCCATTTTAGTCTTAATTTCTGAAACTGATATGTCATCTCATACAAATCAATACAAGGTTATGATTATGAAAGTCTGCTTGAAACGGTGAAGCGGATTTGAAATAAGACGACCAGATAATGAATGGGATCCTATTAGTGTAAATTAACTTCTGGAACAACGTCACAACCTAAAGGGGTTGTTTAGTCAAAGGGAGCCTATCTCAATTCCTTGCAACAGTTTTTCTTCATGGGATGGGTGTAATGCCTGTTTACTGTGGACTGTGCCTATGTTTCACTGCAAGGGTGGTGCCTCCCTTGGGGAGTGGCAGCTCAGGGTGGCACTAACATATGCCCAGAAGAGTCGTCCGAAGAGCATATTTGAGAGTATAGCTTTGCATAATGTAACACATGGGAGGAGCACCAACTGTTCTTAACATGATTGTGAATTCACCTAAGAGTGACCAGAGGCCCCTTCCCACAAGGTGGAAATTGCAACGGGCGGTTCACCTCCACCTCCACAAATCCTTCTAAGATGGAAGAGTTGGTGTTTAGCGTAACTCACTGTATGGCTTACAGAAAATATGGTCTGGAGTTTACTGCACATGGCAACCTGAATGGAATTCCTACCTCTAGAAGAGCAATCAAGGATCAGAGCCCGACAGGGAATGCAGCATCTTGGTTTGGAGGGTTGATGTAAGAGATCTGTCTCCGTGGAAAGTTACCAGCTGATGGTAAAACAATGGGTGAAATCATGTTTAGAGGAAACACTGTAATGAGTGGATACCTTAAAGACTTGAAAGCAACAGAGGAAGCTTTTAGAGGTGGTTGGTTTCGAAGTGGGGATCTTGCCGTGAAGCATCCTAATGGATATATAGAAATAAAGGATCGCTTGAAAGATATTATAATTTTGGTGGAGAGAATATAAGCCCGGTTGAGATAGAGACAGTTTGTTTAGTCATCCAGCCGTTCTTGAGGCTGCAGTTGTGGCTAGACCAGATAATCACTGGGGACAAACACCTTGTGCATTTGTAAAGTTAAAGGAGGATTGATGTTGATGCTGAAGAAATAATCCAGTTTTGCCGGATCGCTTGCCACATTACATGGCTCCCCGGACAGTCATTTTTGAAGATTTGCCAAGAACTTCAACTGGGAAAGTGCAGAAGTTTATACTGAGAAAAAAGCAAGGCTTTGGGGAGCCTTTCTGACACTAAAACAAGGAAACAGCCATGTTTGTTTGGCAGATATTGCTTACCTTGTACTTTAACTCAAATTATTATATTCTTCAAAAATTGTAGAGCCATAATTTCAATTTGTACCTCGTATTGCATTTGTGTTGAAGTTGCTATTATGCAGCTGAAAGTAATGCCATTTGTGATCATACTGGAGATTATTCTTTCATGTGGTTTCATGTGCCGGATGTTGATTCAAGTCAAGGCTCAGAATGTAGGGATTGCATATGGAACCACAGTATAGATGATCCCCAATCTTGATCCCACTGGAAATCATTGGTATTCCAGGATCATGATAGTGAGCAATTGGTTTTCCTTCCAAATCAACAGCCATAACCCCAGCATTTTCCTGGCAATCCCATGTATTTGTTCCAAATTCCTGCAAACTTTCGGATGAACGGGTATAGAAATGTTAAATCCCAGAGTTTTTTGAATTCCTACATAATTCCAGAAAAGTGTTAGTAACTCAAATGATGGTAATGTTTATTCATTGATATACAAAAGATTGATGCAAATGCTACAAATGATGAAGATAACAGCTGATCTCTTGAAGAGGATTTCTCTTTACCAAGGCAAAAGCAATCCAGTAAAGGCCCTGTCCATCATAGTGAATGTTATCAGGGATGCCAGGCAAATTCTCAATAAACTTTTCCGGGCGTCCGGATTCCTTCCCTTTAATGTGATACTTACTGTACCTTCTCCTGCAAAAATTAGCCCATTTGAGACAGTTGGAAAACAAAAAAACTGATGAAAGTAAGTGCTTCAAAACATACATGGGGGTCTCACAGAAAAACTAGAAAAGTTTGATCCGGAGAAACCGTGACTCCATTGGCGACGTAGAGATGATGAAGCAACACCTTGGTCTTCTTTGTTACAGGATCAAAACTCAATAATCTGCCGAAGGGCTTATCCTCCAAAAAGTCCCATAAATGATCAGATAATTTATATTTTTATGAAGCACCTGTAAAATATATCATGCCATCTTCAGCAATTTCTACAGCATTTGTTATCTCGAAGAGCGAGTCCAAGTGGTCTCCCGCCTGCGCTGATCCAGTTCTCAGTCACCGAGTTTTTGAGCGTCACTCGTTTGATCCGCCCATCTTCACAACCCGTGCAGAGGACGTTAGACTGAATCTGAGAGTCATAAACAATATCTTCAGGTCCCCGGAGGACTCCCAGGCCTAGCAGTTCCGCTCCTTGCAACATGTGATCGTTACGCTTCAACGCTTTCAATCCCGGATAAGTGAAGTCGTGGACAGGCATGTGAGCTGGCAGGAAGAAGTCGAGTTGGTAGAGCAACATGGCGGCTATTAAAGGAATCATGAAGGAAAACACAAGGGGAGAACGCCACAACCATTTAGCGGCGTGTTGATGTTGGGTAGTGAAGCTGTTTAGGGGTCTGAGTTGGACATTGTTGAAGGTGATAATGGGAGGTTGGTAAGTGGAGAGGCGATTCAGGGGAAGTGGTAAAGTTGAAACAAGACTTGAAGACCTATATGTTTATAGGATGGACACTAAAGGTCAATATAGAGATTGCAAATTTTTTCTCTGGGCCAAAATGTAATGTTCAAATAATGAGGGGCCATAAAATTATAAAGTTACATTTATGGGGTTAAAGTATTAAGTTAAAAAACTGAACAGAATCATAACGTAAAAGCTGAATTTAATGGGACTACATTGGTAAATTTCTATAAATTTTTGAAAAATTTTGTGAGCCACCCCGGGCTGGACGTAGTTTAATGGTAATCCTAATAGAATTTATGAAATTAGAGATTATTAAAATAAACTAAATTTTCTAAGAAAAATTTATTAATTATTTGAAATTCTTATCTGGTTTCCAAATAGGATCATATAAACACTTGGAACGATCTAACATGTGATAAACAATCGATGGAGAAATATAATTAAAAAAAATAAAATATTTCACTTTGTAATTAAAAACAAAAATGTAATATAAAAGATTTTAAGGATTGAGGATTACTCAATGCATCTGTTTTGGAAATGTTATTATTATTCAGCTGAAAGTAATATCATTTGTGATCAGATCACATTGAGGATTACTCATTCATACGGCGGGATATTGATTCAGGTCGAGACGCAGCATGTAGTGGTTGTCTACGGAACCACAGTACAGATGATCTCCAATCTTGATCGCACTAGAAATTATTGGTATTCCAGGATCGTGATAGTGAGCAATCGATTTTCCTTCCAAATCAACAGCCACAGCCCCACCATTTTTGGTCATTTGTGGTAGCCCCATGTATTTAAGCACAATTCCGACAAACTTTCGGATGACAGGGTATCTAATCGCCAGAGCCCAGAATTTCGAGAATTCCTGCACATATAATTGCAAAAACGTATTGATAATGTGCTACAAACGATGAATGATAACACCAGAATCTCAGAAAATAAATGAAGAGAACTGCTTTACGTACCGAGGCGATTGCAATCCAGTAAAGACCTTGGCCATCATAGTGAATGTTATCAGGAAAGCCAGGCAAATTCTCAATGAACTTTTCCACACGTCCTGATTCCTTCCCTTTAATATAATACTTACTGCACCTTCTCCTGAAATATCAGCGCATTTGAGAAGAAAACTGATGAAATTCTGAAAATGAAAGGAATAGCTCGAAAAACATACATAGGGGTTTCACAAAACACTAGAAAAGATTGATCCGGAGAGATTGTGATTCCATTGGCGAAGTAGAGATGATGAAGCAACACCTTGGTCTCCTTCGTTACAGGATCAAAACTCAGTAATCTGCCAAAAGGTTTGCCCTCTAAAATGTCCCAGATATAATCAGCTAAATTATATTTATATGAAGCATCTGTAAAATATATGATGCCATCTTCAGCAATTTCTACAGCATCGGTCAGCTTGAACTTTTGACCCTCTGCCTCATCCGTTAGCAGCTCAATTATTTCATTTCCATTTATCTTCAGCAGCCCCTGTTACATCATTCACACCCAACATTTCAACGTTAATTTACTGTTTCAATTCATTCACTTGAATCAGTCAACTTAATTTAGGGCGCCTTTGTTTCCATATTTCCACCCATTTTCCTATTGTTTGACACATTATTTGATAAATATTACTATATTTTTTAATTAATTTAGACCCTTTAAATTTATTAATTTCATAAATACACCCAAAAAAAATTTAAAAATTAACAAAAACACCCCCTAAACCCATACTTACCAGATTCCGACAACCACCGTCGGTGGTAGTCGGAATCTGTCACAGCGGTCTACACCATGATCGAAACTGATCGATAATTCACCAATTAACGACAGCCATTTCTTTGGCCGTTAGATAGACTTTTGCGTCCGTCGACGGCCACATATGGCCATTGATCTGGCCTTTTTAGGCCAGATCCGTGGTGGATCTGGCCAAAAAATACCATATCAACGCTATACCTGTCAGATCCAACCGGTATGTATCATTACGCAATTTTTCGACCAAATTTCGATGGTGATGACCAGAATCTGACACTGTGGGTGGTGGAGGTGTTTTGTCATTTTATAAAATTTTATATATTGGGATGTTTAGTTAAATTAGCAAATCTAGGAGATTTTTTATAAATTTATAAATTTTATTTCGTAATACTTCCCTATTCAACTACTCAATATTATTCATAAAATCCTATTCAAAATAATAAAAAGACTCTTAGATATTTATACTGTATTGTATTTTATATGATATTTAATCTTATCCCATCCCAACTGATTAATTCAACCTTATCCGAATTGTGGACTTCGTTTGCTTCCGGATTCTTCCTCCACAGTTTCAACTTAGTACGTACATATTTATTTATTTTACTTAGTATTAAAAATTAAAATACGTTTTTATATATTTCCAACTTTAACATAAAATCATTTTCTTTGTTTTCATCGTGTTTTGGGATAAACCCGATAATTGCCGAGTTGACACAATACTCCTGGTTTGAGCTTGCTATCCAACCACAAGGGATTACCTCTTCCTGACCACAAAATATCAGAGTATAGCTAATCTCTTTCTCTTTTGACTTAAACACAAGGCCCGGGATATATATATATAAATTGAACGTATTTATTTCATAAATTTTGATATCTTCATATTCATAATATATATATTGACGTAAAATCAGAGATATAAATAGTTGAAAAAAAAAAAAAATAATGAATGGTTATCATAAAAATAAAAATAATAAAAAGAAGGTGGCTGACCTTGTAAGCATCAGCAACGATGAATTCGTTATGTCGAAGAGCTAGTCCAAGCGGTCTACCGCCGGTGTTGATCCACTTCTCAATCACCGAGTTATTGAGCGTGACTCGTTTGATCCACCCGTCTTCACAACCCGTGTAAACGACGTTAAACCGAGAGTCATAAACAATATCTTCAGGTCCCCGGAGGACTCCCAGGCCCAGCAGTTCCGCTCCTTGCAACATGCGATCGTTACGCTTCGACACTTTCAATCCCGGATAAGTGAGGTCGTCGACAGGCATGTGAGCCGGGTCAAATGAATCGAGTCGGTAGAGCACCACGGCGGCTATAACAGGAGCCAGGAATGTAAACAGCAGAGTAGAACGCCATGACAATCTTGGGGGTGCGTGTTCTTGTTGGGGTCGGTGGTGGGGAGGGGAAGCTGAGTCCGAGGCCGAGTTGGCCATCGATGATGACGAAGAGTGAGAGCTTGGTGAGCAAGTTGCAGGGTATCCTGAACGAGTGAACGTTCTTTTTTAACTTTAATTTTATGTCTTTCTGTACGTAGGGACGCTGAAGATATCGAGCCCATTATTAATATTTAATTAGCGTGTAATTAAATAAAGAAAATTGTGATTATGATATGTAATTAAATATAATGTACAGGATTATGGGCCTAGTTTGCTGGGCAGCACCACAAGATCATCTGCGTATTTAATTCGCCATTAATGCTGACTGGTCAAAGTCTTTCTTGTTTAAAGCCATGTTTATGAAATTATTAAAATTTTTTTTTTTTTATTAAATTATTGTTATAAACTTATTATACCTAAGTTGGTTACAATTCTGAAAATTGAAAACGATGAATTTATCCTATATCAAGAATTTTGGGTTGAACTCTAGATAAATCCCCTTGGTTCTCTATTAACAACCTAACTGGATCGAACTTTCAGTCGTTACCTCTATTAGAAATCTAGGTAGATCGAATTCATGACCTCTTGATTAATACTTTTAAGAGTCCTAATTGACCACTAAACCACCCAGTGATGGTTTGAGAAGAATTGATTCATATAAATAACAATAATTTTATATATATAAATATATATTTTAAACATAAGTTACTTATTTAAACATCAATTAGCAATAGCAGCAATCTTTTTTAATTATTTGCGGATAACTAAGACAGCTTAATTATCATCTAAAAGCTGCTGCTGCTGCTGCTGCTCGTAGTTGTAAGCATCATCATCTTCCATTTCAGATGACAACCTGAAGAAAATGTAAATTCAAAATCATTAATTATAATAATTTCAATTTAACGTCATTAATAGTAAAATATATATAGATAAAGAATCACCTACCTCAAGTTTTGGTGCCTCATCCTTCTTCTGTAAGAACCACCAGGGACCATTCTTTGAATATAATCTGATTAAACAAACATATTGACTGTAAGGGGATTTTTGTTATTTTGAAAACCTTAAGAGGTCACACCATAAGAGGTTCTTAATTTAAAAATTAAAAAAGTACCTCATATATCCAGTAATTACACGCAGGCCCATGAAAATTGTCAAACCGATCCAAACGCCCGAAAGACCGATGACATTAGGAGCATAGAGCAAGAATGCACAAGAAATTGCAGCTATCGCCATCTGTAAATCATCGTTTAGAAATATTTTAACATTCTGTAAATGTGACAGAGTAAAATTTTTCTGAAAGGTGTAAAGTTTACCGTGGTGAAAGCAATATATGAAAAGTCAGAAACACCATAATGCAGACCATCAAAAATGTAGGCCATACAAGTGATGGGCTCACAGATACAGAGGAACTGCAGAAAATTTGGATGGAAATTCGTTAATTAGATGAACATTTTGAAGCCTGGAAAATATAAACAAAAGAGAAGGTGATTGCGGTTGGCAGATACATACTACTATGAGGGATCTGATAATTCCAAGTACTTGTGAGTCATTGGTGAACAATGTGGCGATGTAATTAAAAGAAGTGCCCAAAATGAGAGCTAGAGAAACACCAGTAAACAATCCAGTCTGTAGAAAAATATGCAGAAACATAACATCAATTTCTGTAAGAAATTAATGGAACTTGTCATGAGAATTGGCTGAGCCGAAGCATAGAAGTAACCTTTAAGGCGAAATGCGTAATCTCTTTAACTGTGTTGTACTGTCCCTTAGAAAGATAACTTGCAATGAGAGCCTGCAAATGATAGAAGCCTATTGGTGAAGAAATGTGCTTTACAGAAAGATGAGACAAGAGGGCAAGTAATATTTACCTGACTAGATGCAGCTTGTGCATCTGCAAGAAGAGACACGGATAACCAGACTTGTAGACATATCTGATGAGCTGCCATAGCTATAGCCCCTTGGCGAGCAGCCATTGATGTGCTCAAAGTTACTGTCAAGACACAAGCAAGAGTTCTTCCAAGAAGAAGACCACCTGAACACAAGGTTCATTTCATTATAGTTTGCAGCACGATAAATAGCGAAATGTAAGTTAATTATAAGTAGCTAAATGAAAGACAATTACCAGATTTTAGGTAGTCACCAAACTGCAAACACTTCATGTTGGGAACCAATAAAACAGTCCTTTTGTTAAGATACCAAATCATCAAGAAAGCGACAATGTATCTGAAAAATTTGAAGCAAATAGCAGTAATTGATCAGTTTAATTAGCATGGTGAAGGAAAAAGAAAACTTCAAACAATGGGAGAACATACTGAGATATAACAGTGGAAATGGCTGCACCAGTGACACCCAACTGACAATAGTTCATGAGTATAGGGAACATTACTACAGCCGCAAAATTTCCCAATCCTGCAAAGTATCATTAAAATCAATTACCTTTCTTCTAGTATAAGTTAGGAATATATGAAATGCAACAGATTATTCTTTGTAATAATCTCAGGAGGCAGACCAGAAACTTGCCTAGACATAATACAGGAGTCCTTGTATCCTTAAACCCGCGGAATATGCCCTGAATGGCTAGATAAACTACCACTGCAGGGGCACCAATTGCTCTTAGACACAGAAATCGTTGCGCTGGAACACGCATGGATGAAGCCTGTCCATTAAAATGATTAAGAAATAGTCCTCCCCTGTCACTGTAAATGGCAAATTATGCATATAAAAATTGAATGAACTCAGAATGAAAGTTAAGAGTTGGCAAACAGCATATTTTGGACAATGGGATCTGTGACAGACAGGAGTTAGTAGTCCCACAATTGGAATTAGTGTTTAAACGTGATCAGCTGGAAAAAAAAAAAATGAAGAAAAAATAACAGAACCATGCAATGATATACAACTGAAATAATGAAAGAAGTTCAACTTACAGATGATATTCCCATCAAGTTAAGAAACACTCCGGATCCAAAATACATTGCTAGAGCCTCAGAGACGCCGATTGCAAATGCTAAAACTAAGGCACTAGAGACAGAAGGGAGAAGCTTTCTGTCGTTGTCCTTTGCGTTCATAAAGTTACTATCTGCATATGAGTAAGCTCATGTTCTTATAAGCAAGTTTCAAGTCAAGTAGTTTTGACTGAAAGGTACAAAATAGGGAAAGAACTCAATATGTGCAGAAGAGTTCATTTGAAGACTTTTCCATGTAGTTTCACCTGAATTAGACTCCTTTGCATTCTTTGAGATGTCTTCAGCCACAAAAGACGTTGCCACATTGAGAAGAGGAATATTGAATACCTTTGAGAGGATGTTGAATATCGATACGGAAATACCCGCGGATGCCAACTCCAAGGCACCTTTTTTTTTTGTACAGTAAGTATATAAGAGCTCAAGAAAAACAAGAGGATAGTTTTAAGCATGCAACATTAACTGTTCTGAAAGCAACGGATCATGACAATAAGATCTGTTTCAGCTCTTCAGCAAACCAACATGCAGCCTCTGGGGCATGGTAACAAAGCACCAATAGCAGGAATGTTCCACAACAGTGATAAGAAGAATCCAATTATATATGAGTTTAGCTATGCCTAGTCCAGATAATATTTTGATAATAGAGTAATCTAGACAATTTGATTAGTAGGAAGTGAAATCAAGCCCTCAATCACATGCTATTTTTCTCAGATTGTCCCATGTCAAATTCATTAAGTATTCAACAACTCCAGAAGCCCCAGTAAAACAGCAGGCTGAGAATAAGAAAGAACAACTTACCCAGTTTACCAATATAAGCTGTTTCCATCAGTTGTGCTAAGGGCTCAATTGCTTGTCCAGCAATCGCAGGTATAGAAAGCATTATAAGATCCATTTGGACATTCTGAGAAGGCGATTGACTGGTAGCTGGTGCCACCCTTGACTCACTGGAAATTAGTCCACAGTTTCAATTATCATGCTCATCCGATGGTGAAGCATTACCAGATAAGGTGCAGTATCAACTTATTCATGTAAACTTCAGAAAGAGATGAAAAAAAGAAGAAAATAAAAGAGAAATCTTACAACTTTTCCTTGCTCAGTTCGGCTCCACTGTTAGATGCGAATCTCTCCCCAACACTAGGACTGATTCGAATAAAATCTGAAGTATCTTGACTGCTGATTGATCCACAACACTTAATGACATTATCGAAGCTAAGACCCCCCCTGTTAGTCCCAGCAAAACGAAAATTCTGATGAGCTTTTGCGGCACCTTTTCCAGCAAAAGGCTTGCCAAGTTTCTTAATTGCTCTTTCTTCGACACTTTTACCAGTAATCCCGCATGATGGTCCTCCCATCAACTGAGAGACTGCCATTTTGTCGATAATTTACCTGCTTATATTACACAAAATCTGTGTCAATCAACCAAAGAACACATTCAATTCCCTACACTACTGGATTAAAAAAAAAAAAAAGAATTTTTTTTTTTGGTATTTCAGTTTGGTTGCTGAGGCCTGTGAGAAATTATCAAAAAAATGAGACAACTTTAATAACTGTGTTGCTTATGAGAGACCCTATTCAACAAAAGCCGGAACCATACACGATAATGTTGCTAAATTGAAGGGAAAACTCTCTTCAGATAACTTTTGAAACTGAAAAAACATAAACCATTTCCTCTTTTCAGTACAAACTTGCAGTGTACTTAGAACAATGAAAAGAAGAAAAAAAAAAGGCAAGCTAAGAGTTTCAACTCAACTAACTTAACAAGCATAAAACACACAAAAGAATATAAACAATGTGGTAAGAGTGAGAGACCACCTGAAGAGTTTCAGTTGGAGGCAGAGGCAGAGGCAGAGGCCGAGGCAGAGGCAGAGCAATCTCGGAATGAAATAAAGAGAAGTTTAATAACAATAACTGCAATCGTGGGAAGAGATTAATATATATTCAGAAGATTCAAGTGAGTTGCCTTGATGTCAGAGAACAGGTGTGGGCTTTTTAGCAGCAGGGATTCATTTTGATACGCTTATCACAAGAAAATGGTATTGTATTGTAGGGAAACAGGGATTTGGTAAGTTACTGCAATCAAAATTTGTAGCATACAACTCACATCAACCTCGTATATTCTTCATATCAATGGGAAACTTATAATTTATAAGCACAACCGTCTAGAAAGCAACACGTTTCACTGGTAACATGGAAGATCAAACAGGCCACGTGGTGTTTTTGTTGTCATTGTATGGTACTAATACATATGATTTTCTTTTGCCAATTTCCATGTGATGTTAAGATTTTTGTGTCACCCAGTTACTGGGTAGTCTAGTTTTCACATATTATTTTAACGGAACGTCTTTACTTATTTTTTTAATGAAACTTGTGAATCATGGTTTAAAGATTGATTCCCCCATCAACTAGCTCTTGGATGGTCTAATTTCTGCATATTTTTTTAATGGGATGTTTAAATTATGATGGAAAGATTGATTGGACTATGATCTAATGGTTTAGATGAATGGTCGAAACAATGTCCATTAATCATCATTGAGTGATTTAACGGTCAACTAAGACTTTTGGGTATATTATTTAAGAAGTCCTAAGTTTGATTCATTGTTAATAGAGATGATCATTGAAAGGATTTATCCAACTATTAATTTTAGGACCCCAAAAGATTAATCAAGACGCACAAGTTGGCCTGCATACTCCAGTTAATTTCTAAGTCTTATAGATTAAGTTACCTGAGGGCTGAGGGTAGTGCTGTCAGAAAATCTACTGTGAATCAGCCACCATGAGAGTGACTTGAGAGTGTGAATAATTGCGACATGGCCCCTCAATAATTCTTAACGCACATGGATCATGAGGCTTTGCATTTTTTTAAGGTTGCTTTCTGATAATTGTAGCTAAAATCCTGTAATGTGGCCCTCCAAAGTTATTACATTTGCAGCTCTTTTATTGGCTTTTTGTAAGGTCCATGGAGAACATATTTAATTCCTAAATTAGATTCTAGTCTTCCCCAACCCCACAACCTGCATGATTGAAGGCTTAATTTCTAATCGCCATCATTCATTGCCAGTCATTAAGTCTTCAAATTTCTGTTGGTGTTATGCTAACTTATATGGTTATAAGTTCAACGGAATAGATCTTTTGATGCTGTCATCTTTTAGAATTTAAAGGCTCTGAAATTGTTGGCAGTAGTTTTTTCAATGCTCTGAAATTGTTGGCAGTAGTTTTTTCAATCTTTCAGTAGAAAGATAATGAAAGGTTCCGAATAACCCAACTCAGCATTTTGTCTCACTCTAAGAATTCAATATTGATACCACACCAACAATGTCTCTCTGACAGTATCCAGAATCATATTTAATTATTATTAAGATAAACGAGAGAAAAAATTGTCACAATAATCACGGGTAAGATGTGACATTTAATGAGTGCTGGTCACATCAGTACGCGTGATTGAATAGACAATGCTCCAAAATGCTTTTAGATTTCTGAATTTTTTTCACTATCTTCCTCTGTTACTTTTAAGCCATTTCTGGGGCATCTCTACAGTCCAGAATATCTCTGTAAAATTCTCAGATTTTCATGTTAGAAGTATGGGACTATGTTTCTTTTAGATCTAGATAAACCACACTGGTATATATCATTGATGAAGCTGACTGGCTCCGAAATTATTGAAGAGAGTGGCAGGCAGTATTGTAGGGCCTCTCTTCTGCCCATGTGGCAATGCTCATCCTGAAGTAGATCCTTTCTGTTGCTAAGTGAATTATGTTGTTCATATTACATGGGACCCTAGCATGAAAAAACCATCCATTTTATTTAGCATGATGCGATAATGTATTAATGTTGCTCAATTTGTAGTTAAAAAATCAAAATTTGGTATAATGGGTTGGTTGGATCCTTTACCTGAAGAAACACTTGTCGCTGTACTACGTGTCTAGTTCATTCATTTCTCAAAAAATTCTCATAACCATTCAAGTCCATCACCCTTTTGCTGGCAAAGAAAACTTCAAAACTGGTAGTAAAGTAAAGCTCTATTTTTCTTCTGGGTTTCAGCATTCTAACCAAAAATTTAAAGATTAAATTAGACCATATAAGGAATCTGAAGAGTCTTAACTTGGAGTCAGAATAATAAATTTTCAAAAGGTGGGTGGACATTAGAGTTTTGGAATTGGCTTAATGTCAAGAAAGTAGGTATGAATTTGTTTGTGTCACTGTCTCATTGACTAGTTGTTTTTTATGGGGCCAAACATTGTGGAACCATGCATTTGTTCGGATAAGTTTTCCAACTTCACCTTATATCATATGGACTACTACTCTGGTGATCTTGTTTCTTTCTGGCTTTAAACAATCATCAGATTTTTCCTATGCATAAAACAGACCCGTGACGTTGTTACTGTGGTCATCATATAATTATTATAGCAACTCCATGATTCGAGGCTCCAAGTACTACTCCATCGAAGTTCATGGAAGGTTGGGGTCAGAAAATTAATCAAACCTCCATGAAAATGACTTTAGGCTCCATGTAATTAAGATATGGTCCCCCAAAACACATGGATATGGCTCATGGGGCTTGCCATTATTCTTTGAGGTTTCTTTCTGATAACTGGAGATTAGAAATTCCTACATTATTGGCTTTCTGGATAAGCACTGTGGAGAATAACATACTTGGAATTCTGCATTGCTAATTGCCATCAACAATAAATTGGCCAATAATTCTCTATTTTCTGGGTCCAAACTTTGTTTCACCATGGATTTGTTTGAAGGATTTCACAGCAAATAGCTTCTTTATGATAATCACTATACAGTATAATATGGAATATCATTTGACCTGATCTGGGTTGTATCATTTTTGTTTTTTTCTTTAAGCAATTATTAGCTTCTTTATATAAAGCAAACCATGTGGTGGCTTTGTTGTTATCATACAATTATTAATTCTATTATAAGATTTGCTTACCAAAATCCCATGTGATGTTAGGTACAGAGCACAGTAACTTAATTTATGCAGATCCTTACCTTGTATTCTGATCTGTAACAACCAAAATTACAATGAGTTCGGAGGAGAATATGTACTTAACAGAGAATTTCTGGGAATTGTTCATTGAAGTTAAACAAGGGTTGCTGTCAGAAAATCAATGCAGTGTTTAATAAAAATCACCTTAGGTGAACATGAGAGTGACTTGAGGCTCAATGTAATTGAGACATCTGAGAAGGTTTCAATTCTTGGGAGTTAGGGGTTAAGCTTCTGATAATTGAAGGTGAATTCCAAATTGTGACACATGCTTGATTGAAATCTGCTATGCCAATTGCTATTAGAATCATATCCATGGCAATAGTTCTTCAATTCTATTGGTGGGTATGACACCACATATGTCTTAATTAATGTTCATGATCTCAAAAAATAGTATTGCATCTTATCCGAAATCGTTGGAGTTTGTTAATGTTCATACCAGATATTCTTTATCTTTCAGAAAATTTGAGGAGAAATATATTGAAAGGCTCTGGATAATCCAACTCAGAATCCGATTTCTCTCTTGTCTTCATCTTTGCTAGCATATCAACCACTTCTCTATATATCTAAAGCTTTTGATATATCTCTGCCTTAGATTTTGCTGTATCATCCCTACCCACCTTGCCGAGTGCATGTTTTTATTGTAACATCCCTTACACACTTCTCTGACTGGGGCTTGGAGAGTAGTAACTGAATTGGTACTCCTGACTCGTTTGGAAAGATGATAATCAGATTCAAGTTATGGGGACACGCACTGAGCCCCATTATTTGAGTAGGGTAAGAGACAAATCTGAACCCCACCAAATGAGAAGAATAAGACAATTGTAATTATCATAACTCTCCGAATCCCACTTGATAAGGTGGGTAAGGGATGTTAGTTTGCTCTCACACCCTGATGATCACTTGGTAAATTCTTTCATGCAAATAAAAATTTTATTCATATCTTGAAAAGTGTCACCAATATGTGCTATGGTATGCATAAAAATTATAAAATTGATATGCCTGTTTTTTTTATGCTAGAGATTTTTCCAGTTTATATTCACTGTATTGCCCTGTTACTTTTAGTGCTTCTGAGGCATCTCTCCAGTCCAGAATATTCTGTCAAATTTAGATTTTTGTATTAGGAGGATAGCCTGCACATGAAGTATTTTAATTTGGTCTAATTAAACAACTGCTATATAATAACATATCATTGAGGTGATAGGCCACAATTACTGAAGTGAGAGGCAATAGGATCTCTGCTATCCAATGGCTATCCTCTTCCAAATGCAGAATCTTTGAGGAATATACACTGAATAGAATTCGGTAGTGATGGATGCATCATGCATTATGAAAGCATTGACATCATGTCACATTAGAATTTTAAATTAAGAAAGATGACTGAAAGGAAATGCATGATTGGATCTCAAGTAAACAAATGGAAAAACCTGGCCAATTTGTCTCTTACAGAAACTAATAAAATAAGACCTTTAAGAGAAAATGTCAAAGTTTAATCAGAAAAAACAAGCTATGATCAACGGCATTGGCTGAGCTTCTCCCTGAGAGTAAACTTTTGCACCTTTCCTGTTGAATTGACTGGTATATCTTCAAAAACCACAGCCCTGGGAACCATATAACTTGGTAAATAATCCTCACAAAATTTAACAAGCTCTTCAGGATTTGAATCACAACCGTCCTTCAATTTCACAAAAGCACAAGGCACCTGCTGCAATTGATCATCAGGTTTTCCAACAACAGCAGCCTCCGAAACTTTTGGATTACTTAACAAAACTGCTTCCACCTCTAGTGTGCTTATCGTCTCTGCCCCAGAAATGATAATATCGTTTTTTCGGTCCTTTATTTGTATGTAACCATCAGGATGTCTGACTCCAAGATCCCCAGTATGATACCATCCATCCCTGAAAACTTCCTGAGTTGCTTTCGGATTTTTGAGGTACCCCAACATTATAGAATTGGCCTTGAACATTATCTCACCAATGGTTTTCCCATCATATGGAACACTTTTCATGGTACTTGGATCTTTCACATCAGCCCCTTGAATGAAAAGGCTGTGAAGCCCTTCGCGGTGTCTAATCTTTTCATGTTCATCCAAAGTTGAATCCCACTCATTTTTCCAAGGCCTAACAGTAGCTATTCCAAGGACTTCTGTCATTCCATATGCATGTCCAATGTTGAATCCTAATTTTGAAACTTTCTCAAGGATTTGCGCCGTTGGCAATGCACCAGCAATAACAACATTTACCTTGTTCTGAAGTGGCTTTTGCTCACTTGGTGAGGCGTTTGCGATTATGTTCAAAATGGCTGGTGCACCACAAAAGTGAGTGACCTTGTGGAGGAATATTGAATCAAATATGACCTTTGCGGAGACATTTCTAAGGCAAATATTAGTGCCACCAAGAGCTGCAAGTGCCCAAGTGCAGCACCAGCCATTGCATCGAAACATGTCGACTGTCCAAAGAAACACAGGCATTTCCTTCATGTCACAACGAGAAATTTGTGCCAATGAATTGAGATAAGCGGCTCTGTGGCTGTAAACCACCCCTTTAGGATGCCCTGTTGAGCCTGAAGTAAAATTCACTGAAATTGGATCACATTCATTTTCTGGTTGCAACATCTCAAAATGATCAGAATTTCCCATCTCAAGAACATCATTATATACCAAACTACCAGGCGGCAGATTATTCGCTGTTGAAGAAGCTGCTGCTTGATCAAACTCTGGGATTATAACAAGGAGAGGTGGCTTAACACTTTTTTGAGAGAGTATGTTGAGTGCTTTGAGGACAAGTTCAACAAACTGATAATCAACAAACATGATTTTGGCCTCAAGCTGTTCAAGAATTGATGCTACCATGGCTGCATCCAACTTAGTATTAAGAGCAGAAAGAACTGCCCCAGCCATTGGAACTGCAAAATGGAGCTTGTAAAGTGCTGGAATATTTGGGGCCAAAGCTGCTACCTGCTCAAACAAATTAATTCGAACTCATGCTTGAATTTGTGGTAATTTTGTAAATGAATTTTCTAAGAGTATGCAATTTTATAAAATCTGAACTCAATTCCTGACTTAAAGGCTTAACTTTTAATGCATGGTTGAATTGAAGCCAACGTTTATGTGGGCAATTTAATTCGAAATTGAAAAACAAATGTTTAATATTTACTATGATCAACTGAAAGATTTTGAAACACAACCCATTTATAAGCAATGTTTTTATCACGCAGTCTAAGCGATGGATCAGATCACTGATGATATACTGATGTTAGTATGACGTAAAAAAATTTAAAACTCTAATAATTAATAAATTTCTAAAATAAATCTATCTAGAAATCCAAATTACACCATAACATAAAATAAAATAAATCCAATATCGAAATCTAAAGAATTTTAAAATTTTATTATGCTATGTTGACGTCATGCTGATGTCATTGGCTTAACCAGCCGGTCCAACCGATTAGACTTACAATTCGACACTGTTTCGCTGGTTCAACCTCAGATCAATCCGATCTAACTATTATAATCGGGTTTAGGATGTATTTAGACCGAATAAAGGTCTGGTTCCCGATCAAACCGGCTGATTTGATCTAGGTTTTAAAACAATTTTTATAAGTCAATCTCTATGAGAACATCTTGAACGTTAGAAATTTCAGAAATTCTTGTAATTCATACAATTAAATGTAAAATAGTGAAAACAACTTTTTGTAGGCGTATATACTGCTTGTTTTGGAAAAACAAATAAATTATATTTGACTAACAAATCAAACATTAAAGCCTAAATAAATTAATATCTTTTCTTCCCCGACCTCAATAAGTTTAATTTTTTTCTCCGAAAGGGTCTCAAGTTTCCAAGTACACTAAAACAATTAAAAAAAACAAAAAAAGTGATGCTATTGACCCCTCGGCAATATATCTTAATAAACTCTATCTCTAAGTTTACCTCATTAAAATTTTTAAATATATCTAAATTCTAAATAAACCTCATCTGTTTACAAAATAACCCACATATATCTATTTTTTACTTTCTCAATTTTTGTTTTATATATATACTTTTTTTTTTTTTTCTTAATCTTCATTTAACATATCAATCAATCGTATAAGCAACTGTACTAATTGACATCACATGTGTTTTCTTTTTAAAAAAAAAAAAAAAATAACAAACTTATAAATTCTGTATACGTGCAAATCAATTGAAAGTTAGAAATGATAAAATAAATCTAAAGAATTTAATGCATATATGTTAGATCAAACTCATTTCATCTAGATTATTTTAAAACAAAATTGGGTTATGATGTAGAAAAAGAAATAGAAATTTTAAATTAACAACAAGAGATTTCATTTAGATGGGTTATGTAATACTTTTATGTCTTATTTAGTAAGTTTGATAAAAAAATAAAATAAAATAAATTGACTAAGGTTATTTTGATAAAATTAATTGGACCCTGAAACTTGAAAGCATGTCTTTATATATTTTTCTAAACAAAAGAAGAAAAAAAAAAAATCAACAATTCAAGTATTTTAGGTAGAAAATCATGTATCAAGGGACCACAGTGTCGATTCTAGATGCCTTCATTAAATATTTGCGTTTATTATATGTTCATGAACATGGACTTGCAGTCATCAATGGTGAATAATATTGCAACTTGTCTCAGTTAATGATTTGACGACCCAAAAAAAATAAAATAAATTAAATTGACTTCAGTTTTTTAAAAGGTTGATGGCTCCTCCAATCGAGCTGTACTCAATATTTAAACAAAGCGTATACGATATTTATGTTAAATTATATGACAAGTAAATATGTAAAATGATTTTACAGCGACATTTAAGTCAAGAAAATCGTCATCAGATTGCAAGTAGAGCATTTTAAATTGAATTTTGCAGCGTGACTAATGCATAATATTGACCTTGAGAAGTCAGACTTTGGCACATTAACGCGTTAATCTCTATTGTCGTTTTGGTGATCTTTTTTTTGAACAATCTCCTACAGATTCATGCCTGTTAAAACCTTGATCCCAGCTATAGCTTAAACACTTCCAGGAATGTTGTATCGAATACAGGGTGAACTAGAAAACTTTCATGCACATAATTTAATTTTAATATTGGGAGAAGGATGAGAGTTTTGGATACGTAGCAGAAGAATGGATTTTCAAAGAATAACACAAGCTAGCTAGGTAATGAGTTATGTAAAAGAAAAAGGAAGAAGAAGAAGAAGAAGAATATTAATAAACTTACAATATCACCCCGAGAAATCTGCAACTTGAGCAAAGCAGAAGCGATTTTGAGGCATCTTTCATACGTTTCTCTCCATGAAAACCTTACAGTGGTTCCATAAACAATGGAAGTTTTATCTCCATAGACATGAGCAGCTCGCTCTAGGAAGTTGATTGGCGTAAATGGGACGTAGTTTGCAGAGCACTGAAGTAGACATTCCATTTGCATTTCTTAACGTCTATTTAGGGTCTCCTCTACTACACAATGCAAGATAAGTGACTCTATTTATATAGAATGTTGGTGAGACAAATCAAGTTGGATGACTCAGCCCACCTTATAGTAAATATAAGGCCAAAGCCAGTTAGTGACATATGGATTGTGAATCAGCAATGCTTTCGTATTCATCCCCATTGTTGGCATTTGTACATTATTAGGAAGCTTCTTGCGTCTCTCTAACTATTAAATTTAGAGATTTCGTATACGCGTACAATTAGCTAATGAAAGTGTCACATGAACTCGCCTGATATAAACACACACTGGCAAATGCTATAAAAAGTTTGATGTACTTGGGATGTATATAAAAAGACTTGATGTTTATTGGTTGACGCCATATTGGGTTGTGTGAACTCGCTCCGCTCGATGTTACTTCGTCAAGGGTTTAGAAATTTGTCAGTCAACTCCATTAACAAACAAGTAAATCTAGATGTTACATCTCATGTGCTACAAATGAAACATCTCACATCGCTTGGAAAGTAAGGGCATAATTTGGTTAAATACCAAAGGAATTCCCTCAATAGTCAAGACGTGTTTTGGACATAATCAAAAGTTTTTAGGTTTGAAAACAAAACTGTGAGAGATTGGGCTTCGGAGTCGGACTACCTAGACTGCTAAAGCAAACAATATTTTGATTGTATTGAGCCGACAGTGGGCCAAGGTGTTACAATTTGTATTAGAGTTAATCCCAATCGGAAGTGTACGGATAGTCAAGAGATCGTTGCGATCCCTCTAGAAGTGTGTGGATAATCAAGAGATCTCGCCTCCCCCAAGAGAGATCACAGTGAGGATGCTGGATCCTGAGGGGCGTGTGAGGAGAGAGGAGATTGAGACATCCCACATCACTTGGGAATTAAGGAGGGGCTTGAGCTGGTTTTGGGACTAAGCAAGAGTTTTTGGGTCTGAAAACAAAATCGTGAGGGACTGCATTTCAGAGTCAGACCACCCAGACTGCCAAAGGAGACAATATCTTGACTGTGTTGAGCCGATGTGTTATAGCAAACCCTAATAGCACCATTTTAATCAAGTTTCCATTAATGTTATTATCAAAATAATTATACAGTAATTAAGTTGTTTATTTTCTTGTATAAATTACATGTTAACTGTGAGTTTTATAATTAATTTAATCAGATAAAGAAAGGTATCGTGGAATTCGTCAAATGATCCAAAGGAAGCTTCATTTTTGCCTCAATCAACACGTGCTTCTCGGGCTATAATATGCTGCCCACCGTGCTTCACGTTCAACCCCAAATTTTAGTGCCTAAAATCCGCTAATCTAGACCTCCCTCCACCTCTCCTTCTTTCCTTTGATATATGTAAAAACGCACCGTCTCATACGTCGCATGTTCATCCTCTCACACAAAATAGATTGATATGGTTGATTGACTCGTCCCGTGTTTCATACAACTTCTGTTTGATTATTATTTTCTGAAATTTGCTTCCATTTTTCGGTTTAAGATACTCCCTATATGGCTGCCAAACACTTCTGAATTTTCAACACTATTGTTTTAAAATCGATATACTCTGGAAAATTATAAAATCATGTCATCGACGGGGAGTTCTGTTCCGAAATTTGGTGAATGGGATGTGAATAATCCTGCCTCAGCTGATGGATTTTCTGTGATATTTAAAAAGGCTAGTGAAGAAAAAAGGGCTGGCGCTTCTGCCGGCCATAACCATAATGTGCCATCGCCGAGGAAATATTATAAAGATAACTATTATAAAGATAAGAGTAAACCTCCCGCCATTAAAAAATGGTTTTGCTGCGCTCATCTTCCTTAGATTTTTTTTTTTTTTTTTTTTTTTTTTTTTTGGTGTACTTGTATGGAACAGTTTTGTTGATTAACATCTAGGCATAATCATGCTTTATTTTTGTTTGTTTGTTTGTTTGTTTGTTAATATCGTGTTAATGTAATTTTCATTTGTTGTAAAAACAAACTGGGAAGAATCACTTCAATTATAGGGACCGCCGATCGATCGTGTGAAAGGATCACCATAGCTCAGAAGATAGAGCCAAGCCTGATCATTAAAAAAATCATGTTAAACACAACGTTGTTTAACAGCTTGCATGTTCATGTATATCCAGTAAATTAATGGAAGCAGGTATATATTCATAATTCATAAGGCGTCTCTATTCTCTCATTAGTTTAATTAATTGTCCTTCTCAAAAGATATGTCATGTTTGCGTTTAAAATTATATTTGATAAAGTTTATTTAGTGTGCATTGCATCATCAGACACTCAACTCAGCCACTGGATTAGGATTAGGATTCCCATTACGTACGTTAAGCTTTTGGGTTAGATGTAATTTGCTAAGGCTTAATTATGAACCCAGAATGATTTCACACTGAATGTCACTCAATAATTAATATACTAAATGCTATTAAAAGCAACTGATTACTTCAGCTAATTAACTAGATATATAGATCATCTGGTGGATCACAACCAAAGCAAGCACTAAGTAATTCTTAGTCAAGGATTTTAACGTCACGACTACATGCGTTATTATAGTGTCCAAAGTTATGTAGAAGCTGCATGCGAATTAACCCCCACTAATAAAAAAGCTGACGACTTCTCAATTGGGAGATCAAATAAGATTAAAAGATAGAGTTTATAATAGGGTTTGAAGCAGCGGATCGGGTTTCAATTTGGAAAGAGAACATATATGCTAATTTATTATTTTATTCTTCTAGCATGTCAACATAATCAACTAAAACTTATCTCTGAAGTTAAGTGGGCGTGTTCTAGTGGCGAGCTGCCGAGTCAATTTATGTTGTCATACAGTAATCCAAAATTGGAATAATAGAAATTTCAGACTCTGAAACACCGAGTCACAAAAGCCGCTTTTCAACCACCGAACGGTCCATAATAAGCACTAAGATGAAGTCGTGCCACTGACAGCCGTATTTTAATAGAAATATTTGTCAATAAAATCCACATAATTCTGACCGTACTTCTATGTATAATACCTTCCATTCTAATCTATATAACTCATACATACCATTTAAGTTCGCAACTAAGAGCAGAAAACAAATATAATGAAGCTCTACACTTTGGTTATCTTCTCTTTAACTTTACTGGTAGGTTCCTTGGGTGAACAATGTGGAAGACAAGCTGGAGGAGCTGTGTGTCCAAATGGGCTGTGTTGCAGCCAACATGGGTGGTGTGGCTCCACAACCGAGTACTGTACAACAGGTTGCCAGAGCCAATGTAGGCCTGGTGGTTCAACGCCAACACCAACCCCTAGTACTGGTGGTGGTGTTAGCGGCATAATCAGCGAAGCTCTTTTCAATCAAATGCTCAAATATCGAAATGATGGTAGATGCCCCAGTAATGGGTTCTACAGATACAATGCTTTCATCACTGCTGCCAATTCCTTTAATGGGTTTGGTACGACTGGTGATGTTAACACTCGTAAGACAGAGCTTGCTGCTTTCTTGGCTCAAACATCCCACGAGACCACAGGTAGATTAATTAACACTAATCACTTTTTTTAGTTTGCAATTAGGATCGTAATTAATTAATCATAAATGCAACTAAAACACTTCATTAATTACATATATTTATTATGTTATTGACGTAACGTTATCTCTCGTCTCAATCATTTGATCATGATTCAATCAATTCTTGAATTATAATTTAAAGAAAGATTTATGTATTACTGTAATACTTATATTGTATTATGTAAAGTCAATAACAAAATCAGTAAATTAATGCATGGGGATATTGCTTCACCAGAGAAAGAAACAATCCAGGAGCTTATTGTACTTCGAAAGATTGGCCATGCCCTCCTGGTAAACAATATTATGGTCGCGGACCCATCCAACTCACACAGTAAGTTTCTCTCATATCATACCTCCTCTCTTGTAAATTCTACAAAACTTTCTGGCTTTGACCGTTGACTTGTTGACTTTTTTTAGCAACTACAATTACGGGCAAGCGGGTAGGGCCATCGGGGCGGATCTAATAAACAACCCGGATTTGGTAGCTACTGACGCTATGATATCATTCAAGACAGCCATATGGTTTTGGATGACCCCACAAGCCAACAAGCCATCAAGCCACAATGTGATCACGGGAAGATGGACACCGTCTGATGCTGACAGATCAGCCAATCGGGTCCCAGGATATGGTGTCATCACTAACATAATCAACGGTGGATTGGAGTGCGGGTGTGGCAATGATGATAGAGTTGCAAATAGAATCGGGTTCTATAGGAGATACTGTGACATTTTGGGTGTGAGCTATGGGAATAACTTGGATTGCTATAATCAAAGGCCCTTCGCTTAATTAAACTCTAATTAACGAGGGTTAATTAAGCTAATAATAACATAATAAAATGTCCCCTCCAATGTTAAACATATCAACAATCTTTTTTAAATAGTATCATGATTAATAAAATTATCTTCTTCGTTAAGAATATGAGCTAGATTTATATGCTTTAAGATCCTTAAATATGAGTGTATTTAAAAATATTAAAAAGAGTATAAGTGTATTTAAAAATTATAATTTCATTCCAATAATTTTAATTAAGGCTAAACTTGTCAAAATAAAAAAATATATTAAAAAAGGCTAAATTCATCAAAACAAAAAATATTTTTAATGGAAGGGGATATCGATCCATTAGATGGCAGCTAAAAATCAATTTTCTCTTTGTGGGCTGATATTACTAATTGGACTTTGATACTTATATCCTTATAGGGCCATCTTACTTATGGATTGTATAGTGTCACGGGCTAAAAGTTTCATATCCAAAAGGTTAATCTATTGGGTGGAGAGACTTTCCTCTTATAAGCCTAAGACCTCTCTAATGTGTTTCCTACGTAGGATCCGTGACATTTTCCCCATCTAATCTTATGATGCCGCATGGGGCACCTATGTGTGATAGTCAATCCACTTTAGAGTGAGATAGACGGATAGGCAGGGGGCCCTACCTGTGACAAGAGCATCACAAACTCACATGATTAGATGAAGAAGAATGTCACGGATCTCACATCGGAACCGTATTGGAGAGGTATTCCATCTAATGGATTAACCTTTTGGATGTGAAACTCTCAACCCGTGATAATAGACTTCTTTTAGTTAGGCCTCAAGGGTTATTAATTCTGGTCCAACAATATGTACTAATCATTTTATATAAGGAAAATCAAGATATAAGAAACAAAATATTATTTCAAACACAGTAGAAGTTATATATCAAATTAGCTATCTTAAATATGCATTAACTGGATCATATAATCTCCATATAGTGATATTTTAAGCCTGAACTTTAACGGGTTATATACATATTCACCCTTCAAGTTTGAGAAAAATTCAAATAAAAAAAAATCTAAAATAATATATAAAATGAAAATAAGAACCTAAGGTATGCATAATCTCCCACCATAATTGTAATATTAGAATGTAAATTACTGTAAATAGAAGGTTATTTAGGGCAATTTCACAATTCAGGTTAGAGTTTTGGTACTTTGTTTTTGTTAATTAACGAAGTTACTAGTCTTCTCGGTTTAGACTTGGACTAAGTCGAAATTGAATATTAGTCTAGTACGTTAACGTTTCTGGCCGATCTAGTTCAGACTTTGACTAGTCTAAGATTGATTATTGTTAGTGGAAGGAAGCTTACAGGAAACAGCATGCAGCCATCTCCATGAATATATGTTCAGGTTTCTGATCATGGACGTACGCGGTGCTGCCTTTTCAAATCTATAGCTCTTTTCTTTCGTCCAATGACTCCAATCTTCCACAACGATTAAGACCGGACAAGACCAACGAACCACACGTTATATATATGCACCATGCATGAATCCCTGTTCAGAAACACAGTGGTAATTATATATAAGGACCATGCAATGTGGAACACAAGCTGGGTGAATTAATGCATTATATCCGTGTGGGCTCTGCTGCAGCAAACATGGATGGTCTAGCAGCACAAACGATAACTGTGGAGCTAATTGTCAGAGCCAATGTGGCCCTGGCAATAGCTGGCATAACCCCTGCGCCACCGTCTAGTAGTAACCAATAATGTAGATACTAATATTATATATACTTTCTTGGCTGCTTAATTATGATTCTCAAAGACATCTCAATTAATGAAAATCACATTTATCTCACAGAAATAGATAAAAGACTACTGCATGCTATGTATTTAGTCGTATAACATAAGATTTATAAAATTTTAACTTTAATTTAAACCAATTGTACACAATATTCATTATGTATATCTGCTCACAGATCAATGGGAAATTACACAATTAACACCCTTTTCATCACTAAATTTAATTAATCAAATAAAAACGGACTAAGAAACAAACAGACCTAGATAATTTTAAAATACCATAAACTTGTACAAAATCAATTAAAAAATTTTAGTTGTCATATGTTGATTTATTATCACATTCAACTTCAAATTCAATTAGAATTCTTAGTATTTGGAACCACCACTGGGTGACCCAACTGTTAACTAAGACTCTTGGGTGTATTACTCAAAAGGTCCTGAGTTTGATCCACCTGGGTTACTAATAGGGGTGGCTACAACCGGGATTTTCCCGATTGTCAACTTCAGGGCCTCGAAGGATTAGTTGAGGTGCATGCAATCTAACCCAAACACCGCTAGTCACCAAAAAAAAAAAAAAAAAAAACAACTACAAAAAGTTTAAGATGTAAGCAAACTAGCCCGGATACCCCCAATCAACTAAAAAAAAAAAAAACTAGAAAAATGTTTATTTCAAGGGGCCTCTTCTAATGTGCTTACATGCACGTAAATTTAGTAAGATGATACCAAAAATATTGTGATAGTATAAGATTTCTCATGTTAAAAAATTTAATTTAGACCACGTAAAAGCTATCCCTTCTAGGAACTTTGAAGCGATTTTAGTCAATGCCGTTGCTCATCAGTTTCTTTCTTTTGTTTCTTCTGTTCTTAGCCGTGTATAAAAAGTAACAGCCAATGAAAACCATAGCTTCCTTCCTTCCTGGTCATTTTCCATCTAGGGTCAGCCAGCCTTGACTAGTAACAGTAGCACCACTCCCGGTAATCTCCTCCACTCATATGGTCTTTTCATTTGCCGTGCGAATGCTGTGCTACTTCTCATTCTCACAAATCCAAACATGACATTTGTTCATCCCTCTTTTATCTTTATTATGTCCAGAATTCTTATCACCATAATTATGTTATATGCATATTTCTTCAAGCAAGACAGCCGCTGTTGAATAGTGAGAAATAACATGCATGCATCAGGACATTCCGATCCTTATCACGTCACTCCCACTTCTTTTTCTATCTATAAATACCCAGCACCATTATCCCAAAATTCACAAGCCACTACAGAGTGATCTAATCAAACAACATATTAGAATGAGGTTGTGTTTGTGCTTATGGGTGCTAGCGTTCTGCATTTTGGCCTCTGATCTCGGGGCCTTGGCTGATGTTCGTTCACTCATTAGCAAAGACCTATTTGAGCAGATATTAAAGCATCGTAATGATGCTGCTTGCGAAGGCAAAGGTTTCTACACTTATGAAGCTTTCGTTAATGCTGCCAACTCCTTTGGCGCCTTTGCAACCACCGGTGATACCAACACTCGTAAAAGAGAAATTGCTGCCTTCTTGGCTCAAACTTCTCATGAAACTACAGGTGGGTGGGCCAGTGCCCCCGATGGCCCATTTGCATGGGGATATTGCTTCATCAGAGAAAGAAACAATCCAGGAGCTCATTGTACTTCTAAAGATTGGCCATGCCCTCCTGGTAAACAATATTATGGTCGCGGACCCATCCAACTCACACAGTAAGTTTCTCTCATATCATACCTCCTCCCTTGTAAATTCTACAAGACTTTCTGGCTTTGACCGTTGACTTGTTGACTTTTTTTAGCAACTACAATTACGGGCAAGCGGGTAGGGCCATCCGGGCGGATCTAATAAACAACCCGGATTTGTTAGCTACTGACGCTGTGATATCATTCAAGACTGCTTTCTGGTTCTGGATGACTCCACAGTCACCCAAACCTTCATGTCACGCTGTCATCATCGGCCAATGGAAACCATCCACCACTGATACTCAAGCGGGTCGGGTCCCCGGTTATGGGGTCACCACCAACATTATCAACGGCGGCAAAGAATGCGGCCAAGGCTCCAACTCAAAAATGGAGAATCGGGTCGGATTCTACAAAAGATACTGTCAAATTCTGGGAGTTGACCCTGGCAGTAACCTGGACTGCAGTAGTCAGAGGCCTTTCAATGCTTAATCTCAACCAAAATGAATCAATAATGTTAAATGTTGATCAAATAAAACATCAATGAAGTTAAGTTGATCTCTACTAAATTACATCAACATATTAATCAAGCTCCTTCCCCTCCTGAGTTCAACTTATGATCTTATTTATATACAACATGCAAGCAAAATACAGATCGTATATAACTAAGTAAAGTATGTTACATAAATACTGAATTATAATAGTTATAAATTAGTATTATAATTTAAATTAAATATTGAATTTAGAGATAACTACTTATATAACCCTATTTTAATTAGAGTCAAATTAAAAAAGAATCCATCCTAAATTGTCTTTGTAAGTAAGACCTTTGATGCAAATTCTGGACAATTTGACCCTTCTTCAATTCACTTCTTTCTTTCTCCTCTTTTCTTCTTGTCTTTCTTTGTTCTCCTTAATGTTTTTAGATTTACGTTTTTTGTATTGTTTGTATATATTTACGGTGTATATATGTTCATATGTGTTTAATATAAGTGAAATAATGCATATTTAGGGGAAACAAAACAAGAAAAACTCACTTTCTACCACTTGAATTGGCAAAAAAAATTCTAGAAAAATTGCAAAAAATCGAGTCACTCAAATCTAGTTGCTTGAGTGGGATATAATGATATTAATCTTGCTTAAGTGAGGTATAATGATATTAATCTTATTCGAATGGACGTTTTTGATACTTTACATAATAAATTTCATAAAAACAATACAACCCATATAAAATTTTAAAAAAATCCATTCGAGTGAGGATAATATCATAATACCCCACTCAAGTGACTAGACTCAAGCTACTCGAGTTTATTTAATTTTTTTGGGTTTATTTATCAATTCTGGAAAAATATATTTTCAACCTAATTTGAATTATTCTCAATTCTTTTTTGACTTTCTTTATATATTAAACATATTTTCAACATTTCCTATATCCTTTAACACTAAATTCTTTCAAAAAATCAACTAAAAAAATCACAATATTCACATTTCAATCTTCGATCAAAACTTTTTTAATTTCCACGAAAGCAATAGTATTTATATGGTTAAGTTTGAAAAAAGGGTAAAAGTGTCCAAATTTTTTATGAGAGGTCTTGCTTACAAAGCCATTTAGAAATTGGCTATTTTGATATTTTCTAATTTGACTTTTTAAAGAGGGTCAATTGAGTAAATTTCTCTTGAATTTACTATAGCATAACTCCTTTATAATTAAACATTTAATAAGGTTTATTTCATTCACCATGAGTGATATTTAGTCAAAAACACCCTCCTAAAATATCATAAGACCCTATAAAAATATTAGATTTCTAATAATCGTTTTTTTTTTTTTTTTTTTTTTTAACTTAAATACCCCCCATGGACATATGAAATTAATATTGTTTAATAAATTTTATTGCTCACTACAGTTTTGGCAATTGCTGAGCATACACTCCCTGGGTTTCAAAAATTGGTTTTTAAAAGTCGGGCCTAACTCTTCATTAAATGGGCTGGTTGGTTAAAAGCCCAACCCATTTAACATGTTTCTCTCTCCTCTCTCTTTTCAACCCTTGTTAAACAGTGTTACACCTTCATTAACCACTTACACTGTTACACCTTACTTTCTAGCTTTGACCGTTGACTTGTTGACTTTTATAGCAACTACAATTACGAGCAAGCGGGTAGGGCCATCGGGGCAGATCTAATAAACAACCCGGATTTGGCTTTGGATGACCCCGCAAGCCATCAAGCCACAATGGCTTTCTTTGTTTCAAAATTGGGAACACTATTCTTAGTATTCCCAAAAAAGTTAAACAATAAAATATCTAAAAATTCTAATTTTTGGGAATACTACTTTCAATATTATTCAATTTTTTTTAAACCTTCTAAATTTGTTAATTTAATTAAATACCCCTAAATATTTTTTTAAAAATTATAAAAACACCCCAACAATCCACATTTACCAGATTCCGACCACCACCATCAAAAAATGGCTGGAATCTAGTAGGATGGCGTACTACCAGCTGAATCTGGCCGGTAGTGCGCCGATCTAGCCTTTTCTGGCCAGATCCACGGTGGATCTAGTCGGAAAAGGCCAGATCTAAGGCCAAAGATCTGGCAGTTGACTGCCAGATCTTTGGCCATAACAGTCGGTCACGATGGCCAACAAACGGTCGTCGTTGACCATCAACGACGACCGTTTGTTGGCCGTCGTTGAGAGCAAATACGGCCAGATTTGGCCGTAGATCTGGCCTTTGTCGGCCAGATCCACCGTGGATCTGGCCGAAAAAGGTCATAGCGACGTATGACCGACAAGATCCAGCCGGTCATACGCTGATAAGACGACTCCGGCCACCTCTGGTGGTGGTGGCCGACTGGGGGTATTTGAGGGTGGATTAGGGGTGTTTTTGTTAACTTTTAATGTTTTATTATAGGGGGTGTTTTGTAAAAAAATAAACATAATGAGCATTTTATTTATTTATAAATCCTACCTCGTAATACCCACCAAATTCAAGTTTTCTTTAACTTTTTTCAAAAAACTTTTCTCAAAACCCCCAAATTTTGAACCAAACGAAGCCAATGTGATCACAGGAAGATGGACACCATCTGATGCTGACAGATCAACTAATCGGGTCCCAGGATATGGTGTCATCACCAAGAGTGTTCACGACCAAAGCCAAGCCGAGTTTTCGGCTTAACGAGCTCGACTCGTGAAATGGGATAAAGAAGGCCTCAACGGTTCGTAATGGAATCGAGCCGAGCCGTAGATTTTTGGATGTGAAACTCCCAACCCGTAACAATAGACTTCTTTTAGTTGGGCCTTAACGGTTTTTAATTTTGATCCAACAATATGTATTTATTATTTTATATAAGGAAAATCTAGATATAAGAAACAAAATATTATTTCAAACACAGTATAATTTATATATCAAATTAGCTATCTTAAATATGCATTAACTGGATTATATAATCTCCATATAGTGATATTTTAAGCCTGACCTTTATCGGGTTAAATACATATTCACCCTTCAGGTTTGAGAAAAATTCAAATAAAAAAAATCTAAAATAATATATAAAATGAAAATAAGAACCTAAGGTATGCATAATCTCCCACCATAATTGTAATATTAGAATGTGAAATTACTGTAAATAGAAGGTTATTTGGGGCTATTTCACTGTTTCAGGTTAGAGTTTTGGTACTTTGTTTTTGTTAATTAACGAAGTTACTAGTCTTCTCGGTTTAGACTTGGACTAAGTCGAAATTGAATATTAGTCTAGTACGTTAACGTTTCTTGTCGATCTAGTTCAGACTTTGACTAGTCTAAGATTGATTATTGTTAGTGGAAGGAAGCTTACAGGAAACAGCATGCAGCCATCTCCATGAACATATGTTCAGTTTTCTGATCATGGACGTACGCGGTGCTGCCTTTTCAAATCTATAGGTCTTTTCTTTCGTCCAATGACTCCAATCTTCCACAGCGATTAAGACCGGACAAGACCAACGAACCACACGTTATATATATGCACCATGCATGAATCCCTGTTCAGAAACACAAGGACCATTCAACGTGGAACACAAGCTGGGTGAATTAATGCATTTTATCCGTGTGGGCTCTGCTGCAGCGAACATGGATGGTCTAGCAGCACAAACGATAACTGTGGAGCTAATTGTCAGAGCCAATGTGGCCCTGGCAATATCTGCCATAACTCCTGCGCCACCCTCTAATAGTAACCAATAATGTTATATATACTTTCTTGGCTGCTTAATTAAGATTCTCAATTACATCTCAATTAATGAAAATCACATTTATCTCACAGAAATAGATAAAAGACTTCTGCATGCTATGTATTTAGTCGTATAACATAAGATTTATAAAATTTTAACTTTAATTTGAACCAATTGTACACAATATTCATTATGTATATCTGCTCACAGATCAATGGGAGATTACACAATTAACACCCTTTTCATCACTACATTTAATTAATCAAATAAAAACGGACTAAGAAACAAACAGACCTAGATAATTTTAAAATACCATGAACTTGTACAAAATCAATTAAAAAATTTTAGTTGTCATATGTTGATTTATTATCACATTCAACTTCAAATTCAATTAAAATTCTTAGTATTTGGAACCACCACTGGGTGACCTAATGGTTAACTAAGACTCTTGGGTGTATTATTCAAGAAATCCTAAGTTCGATCCACCTGGGTTGGCAATAGGAGTGGCCACAACCGGGATTTGCCTAGTTGTCAACTTTAAGCCCCTGAATGATTAGTTGAGGTGCATACAATCTAGCCCAAACACCATTAGTCACCAAAAAAAAAAAAAAACAGTAACTAGAAAAATGTTTAAGATGCAATAAGCTCGCCCCGACACTCCTAATCACACAAATAAAAAAAACCACTAGAAAAATGTTTATTTCAATTGGCCTGTCTTCTAATGAGCTTACAGTTACGTAAATTTAGTAAGATGACACCAAAAATATCGTGATAGTATAAGATTTCTTATGTTAAAAAATTTAATCTAGACCAGGTAAAAGCTATCTCTTCTAGGAACTTTGAAGCGATTTTAGTCAATGCCGTTGCTCACCAATTTCTTTCTTTTGTTTCTTCTGTTCTTAGCCGTGTATATCTTTGAAAACTATGGCTTCCTTCCTTTCTGATCATTTACCTTCAGAAATCAGATGGTGATCTTTTCATTTGCCGTGCGAATGCTGTGCTAATTGGTCGAAATATGATATCCTCTGACTACTTCTCATTCTAACAAATCCAAACTTGACATTTGTTCATCCCTCTTTTATCTTTATCATCTCCAGAATTCTTATACATCATAATTATTTTATGCAATTTTTTCAAGCAAAAAGAAGTTAGGAGCCGCCGCCGTTGAATAGTCAGAGATAAAATGCATGCATCAGCAAATTTCGATCCATGTCACGTCANCTAGGAACTTTGAAGCGATTTTAGTCAATGCCGTTGCTCACCAATTTCTTTCTTTTGTTTCTTCTGTTCTTAGCCGTGTATATCTTTGAAAACTATGGCTTCCTTCCTTTCTGATCATTTACCATCAGAAATCAGATGTTGCCGTGCGAATGCTGTGCTAATTGGTCGAAATATGATATCCTCTGACTACTTCTCATTCTTACAAATCCAAACTTGACATTTGTTCATCCCCCTTTTATCTTTATCATCTCCAGAATTCTTATACATCATAATTATTTTATGCAATTTTTTCAAGCAAAAAGAAGTTAGGAGCCGCCGCCGTTGAATAGTCAGAGATAAAATGCATGCATCAGCAAATTTCGATCCATGTCACGTCAATCCCACTTCTTGCTCTATCTATAAATACCCACCACCATTATCCCAAAATTCACAAGCCACTACAAAGTGATCTAATCAAACAACATATTAGAATGAGGTTGTGTATGTGCTTATGGGTGCTAGCATTTTGCATTTTGGCCTCTGATCTCGGGGCCTTGGCTGATGTTAGTTCACTCATTAGCAAAGACCTATTTGAGCAGATATTAAAGCATCGTAATGATGCTGCTTGCCAAGCCAAAGGTTTCTACACTTATGAAGCTTTCGTTAATGCTGCCAACTCCTTTGGCGCCTTTGCAACCACCGGTGATACCAACACTCGTAAAAGAGAAATTGCTGCTTTCTTGGCTCAAACTTCTCATGAAACTACAGGTGGGTGGGCTACTGCACCAGATGGACCATATGCATGGGGATATTGCTTCAAGCAGGAACAAGGCAGCCCTCCTGATTATTGTGTTGCAAATCAACAATGGCCATGTGCACCCGGTAAAAAATATTATGGCCGGGGTCCCATCCAAATTTCATAGTAAGTATAATATATTTCAATGAATGATTACTCAATTAATTAAGTTATTGAGATTGACGTTGAGCTTGAATTTTGACAGCAACTACAACTACGGTCCAGCAGGAAAAGCCATAAACTTTGACTTGCTAAACAATCCAGATGCAGTGGCAAATGACGCTACTATTTCATTCAAGACTGCTTTCTGGTTCTGGATGACTCCACAGTCACCCAAACCTTCATGTCACGCTGTCATCACCGGCCAATGGCAACCATCCACCACTGATACTCAAGCGGGTCGGGTCCCCGGTTATGGGGTCACCACTAACATCATTAACGGTGGCATAGAATGCGGCAAAGGTTCCAACGCACAAATGGAGAATCGGATCGGATTCTACAAGAGATACTGTCAAATTCTGGGAGTTGACCCTGGCAGTAACTTGGACTGCAATAATCAGAGGCCTTTCAATGCTTAGTCTAAACCAAAATGAATCAATAATGTTATATGTTGATCAAATAAAACATCAATAAAGTTATGTTGAATTATAATATTAATCAAGCTCCTTCCCCTCTTTTATTCAACTTATGATCTTATTTATATACAACATACAAGCAAAATATAGATCATATATAGCTAAGTAAAGTATGTTACATAAATACTGAATTATAATAGTTATAAATTAGTATTATAATTTAAATTAAATATTGAATTTAGAGATAACTACTTATATAACCCTATTTTAATTAGAGTCAAATTAAAAAAGAATCCATCCTAAATTGTCTTTGTAAGTAAGACCTTTGATGCAAATTCTGGACAATTTGACCCTTCTTCAATTCACTTCTTTCTTTCTCCTCTTTTCTTCTTGTCTTTCTTTATTCTCCTTAATGTTTTTAGATTTACGTTTTTTGTATTGTTTGTATATATTTACGGTGTATATATATTCATATGTGTTTAATATAAGTGAAGTAATGCATATTTAGGGGAAACAAAACAAGAAAAACTCACTTTCTACCACTTGAATTGGAAAAAAAAAAAAAATTCTAGAAAAATTGCAAAAAATCGAGTCACTCAAATCTAGTCGCTTGAGTGGGATATAATGATATTAATCTTGCTTAAGTGAGGTATAATGATATTAATCTTATTCGAATAGATGTTTTTGATATTTTACATAATAAATTTCATAAAAACAATACAACCCATATAAAATATTAAAAAAATCCATTCGAGTGAGGATAATATCATTATACCCCACTCAAGTGACTAGACTCAAGCGACTGGAGTTAATTTAATTTTTTTTGGGTTTATTTATCAATTCTGGGAAAATATATTTTCAACCTAATTTGAACTATTCTCAATTCTTTTTTGACTTTCTTTATATATTAAACATATTTTCAACATTTCATATATCCTTTAACACCAAATTCTTTCAAAAAATCAACTAAAAAATCACAATATTCACATTTCAATCTTCGATCAAAACTTTTTTTAATTTCCACGAAAGCAATGGTATTTATATGATTAAGTTTGAAAAAAGGGTGAAAGTGTCCAAAATTTTTATGAGAGGTCTTGCTTACAAAGCCATTTAGAAATTGGTTATTTTGATATTTTCTAATTTGACTTTTTAAAAAGGGTCAATTGAGTAAATTTCTCTTGAATTTACTATAGCATAACTCCTTTATAATTAAACATTTAATAAGGTTTATTTCATTCACCATGAGTGATATCTAGTCAAAAACACCCTCCTAAAATATCATAAAACCCTATAAAAATATTAGATTTCTAATAATCGTTTTTTTCTTTTTAACTTAAATATAGCCCATGGACATATGAAATTAGTACCGTTTAATAAATTCTATTGCTCACTACAGTTTTGGCAATTGCTGAGCATACACTAACTGGGTTTCAAAGATTGGTTTTTAAAAGTCGGGCCTAACTTTTCATTAAATGGGCTGGTTGGTTAAAAGCCCAACCCATTTAACATGTTCCTCTCTCCTCTCTCTTTTCAACCCTTGTTAAACAGTGTTACACCTTCATTAACCACTTACACTGTTACACCTTACTTTCTAGCTTTGATCGTTGACTTGTTGACTTTTATAGCAACTACAATTATGGGCAAGCGGGTAGGGCCATCGGGGCGGATCTAATAAACAACCCGGATTTGGTTTTGGATGACCCCACAAGCCATCAAGCCACAATGTGATCACGGGAAGATGGACACCGTCTGATGCTGATAGATCCACTAATCAGGTCCCAGGATATGGTGTCATCACTAGGGGTGTTCACGAGCCGAGCCGAGCTGAGTTTTCGGCTTAACGAGCTCGGCTCGTGAAATGGGATAAAGAATCGAGTTGAGCCGCAGATTTTATGGCTCGACTGGGCTCGTAATGGATTTAAGGGTATTTCGAGCTGGCTCCTAAGCTGACTTATCGAGCCGAGTTTGAGCCAGCTTGCGAGCCAACTCCAAAACAATCAATTTTTTTTTTTTTTTTTGTTTTTTAAAATTCTTGGGCAGCCTGTCTGAATGTCTAATGCTTTTTGTTCATGATTCATTTTCGCCATCCTCAAACAACTTCTAAATTCTACAAATTGCAATTTTTTTCTTCTCATGTCCTCATACATCACCTAACAATTAAACCTACTTAAAATAAACATTAAATAGAATGCTACTGCTATTAACAATTTATCATTCAACATACTGTATGTACCACAAATTAAGTTAAGTGAACTAAGGGTTTTTTGTTTAGTTCAGTTGACTTAATTAAGTTTTCATCAAAATAAAATGGGGGGTTAGCATAACTATACATCAAGTGACATCCCCATCGATCAAAAAATATATATAACCACAAAAGATAATTGGTTGTATGTCCATTGTAGCCCTACTCCTCCTACAAATAAATTAATGTGAAACACATTAAGTACAATTGTCATTTTATGTAAACCATAAAGATGAAAATGCAAACCTGAACACAAAACTAATAAATATAGACCTGTAGAATCCTACTGCCACAGCCAATAACTCACAGGTGAATCAACCAATCTGCTGACTCCCATCACCTGATAGAATAGGAAGCTAAATCTCCAAGTGATCCTCCTCTTTCTAAAATGAAAAAGAGATAAATATGAACTGTCGGTTAGAATAAAGTAATTTTAAATATTGAATTAAACAAAAAAAGTAATCAATGGAACTTATTTACACCCTTTCTTCACTCCATTCAAAGTGCGACGCTAGTCACATCCACATAACAACATCTCCATCATAGCTGGTGACAAAGAAGCTCAATAGCTGTCAATAATCCTACTCCTAGCACTGAATGCAGACTCTAAAGCAACCGTAGTGATTGGGATGGCTAGTATCTCACGAGCCATCGTAGACAATATAGGGTACTTGATTGAATTTGCCTTCCACTACTGTAAGGCATCAAATGAGTCATGATTTGACACAACCCGTCCCGAATTTCGTCATCCTGTAGGATCTGGGCGCTCCCACAAGACTCGGATACCCGAGACGTGCCACGTAAAAAAACTGTGAAACCTGTTAAATGACTTACTTTTTCTTAATAACATCATAGTATTTCCATTTCCAACATCTAAAAAAAAAAAAAAAAAAAAAAAAATACGTACACCATCTTTCGTTTTACAAAAGAAAAGATTTAGGGGAAAACTTGTGGTATCAGGTTTTCCACTTATGCAACACATTCCAAAACATAAACAAAAGGAAATATATGATGGGAAACATGAGTTTTTGAAACGGAAGTCCAAAAATACAATATGACATAAATGTAAAACCCATATAAAAAGATGTCGACGCGTGGCACAACCCTGAGCAAAGACTCACTGCTCGGCACGATCTCCGGGAGGTCCTAGTGAGGGGGGAAAACATTTAAAAAAAAAAAAAAGGGCTGAGCTAAAATACTAAGTGAGTGGGGAAAAGGGAGGGTTTATAAAAGTTCCAAAAAAAATAATGATAACATACAACAATTCTTAAGCAAATCCTGACGACAATATAATTATATGAATATGCAATGGAAGCAACCACCCCATTCACGTATGTAATATGTGATTTAATTCTAACTATCTTGCACTTAGTAAACTGTACTCTGACTTACTTCCGTTAACTGTATCGGATTCTGAATAAAACCTCAACATTTGGTATTAGAAACTCTCACCACAGCTAGTACCATAGGGAAAATCTGTCATACTTGGTAGGCGTCCCATATGCAAGCAAAGCGAGAGACGTACCTGTCATACCTGGCAAGGTCTATCATCGTGCGGGCAGTGCCTCAAACTTTCATACCTAGCGGATCACTCAACGCCTAGGCATAACACTGATAACTGTCATATGCATGCGTAGAGCCATTAACTAGATCTGATAATCTGTAACTCTGGGGAATGGGTACTTCGTAGGGTGGTTTTAGCACCACAACAATCTCATGCATAATCTCAAGTAACATGTAGGTCAAAAGCATATTACGTATGTGCTTATAAATCATACATATATGACATAATATTCAAAAATCACATATAGGGGTGAAATTGCAATTTTCTAAACATGTTTAAAAAACTAACGGTTTAACCCAGATAAAAAAATTACTTCAGCATCACATTACCATAGCATATGTCGGACACCAATCATCAACAATTATCACTTTGAAAAGCCAAAAACTCAAATAACACATGATAATTATAATTAAACCAAAGAGCTAATAATTAATACATAAGGATATCTCATATTAAAATAAAATAAACATGTCCTTCCAAAACAAATAGCCAATACCATCATTTTTCCATTATCAATATCTGTACTTTTTAACTTTTTTTTTTTTTTCTTCCCAATTTCAGCCCAACCGAAACAACCTTTTTCAATATGTCAAGTTCACATTCCAATCACACACCTTAGCACCATTTTACTTCATTGACATCATGCACATATAAAATATGAAAAGTAAAAAAAAAATAAAAAAAAAAAAAAAAAGAATATATCACATGCAAATATAGAATCTTAAGCTATTAGACATAATCCTAGAAAATATGCAGCATAATAATCTCAACACTTTGAGCAAAAGGACCAGATCTTAAAACTTTTCCCGAAACATTACTGGGCCGACACATGCAAGCAAAAATTCACACCAATTTCAATTTTCCCTCAAACACAACAAGCTAGAATTTCACAGCTTGACATGCAAACAAGATTTTGATTTTTTTTAAAGGGTTTTAGTTAGATCCACTCACAATTCTAACTCAGTCGAAGCTTCCTACACTCTCCTCCACTCTTCTCTCTCACTCTACCATTTTCAGCCGAAACCCATTCTCCTCTTTTCTCCTTTTTCTTCTTTTCTTCTTCTTTCTATCTATCCTCTCTTCTATCTTTATTCTCTTTCTCCTTTCCTTTCTTTCCTCTCTCCTTTCTCTCCTCTCTTCTTCTTCTCCTCCTCTCTTCTTCTCTGTTTTTTTTTTCTTCCTCTGCTCTTGTTTTCTTCTTCTTCATTTGGGCGAACTGCCCAGTTTTTTTTCTTTAAAACTAAGATAATTTTCTAAAATTATAATCTGCCCCCCA